TTGGAAGGTTAATATGGAAATTTTATTTAAAATAGAGAGGAAATTAATTTCACAATAGAATTTAATGTTTATTAAGAGTAATCTCTCAAATAGTATTAGAAAACAAACTTAAACTATGGCATACAAATAATGTAAAAATAATTTCAATAAAAATGACTCATTGGTCTTAACGACATTGCAACATATAAGTTTCAGCTATAAAATTATTACGATTTGATTTCACATTAACTAAAAACCAATAAAATGTAAAAAAGATATATAAAAATATATCTGTTGCATTAATCCTAGGCACAAATAAAAGTATTCTTTTGGCCTCCTTTGATTTTTTGAGACAGGGGCGCAAATTATTGGTCTCATGCGCAAGATTTACTTACTACTGTTAGCTGTCTATAATCCATTGAGATCATAGAATTTGTAGATAAAAAGAGATGATACAGCTGTAGATTTATCTGTATACCAATTAAATATTTGTTTTATCTCATTCGATGATGAACAAGATTTAGATCAGTGATTCCCAAAGTGGTCTATATCGACCCCCAAGGGTCTATGACAACCTGCAAGGGGTCTACGTCAGCGAAAAAAAAATTTGGGTGTCCATGAAATGAAAATGAGGTTCAAGATAGTGGATTTCAACATACACTGATAGTACCAATTTTCTTACAGTATACTGTCTTATAATATAAAGACATATACATTATTTATAAAAGTACCTATGAAGTAAAAAAAATATTATATATGTTTATAAAATTGTGTAAGTTGTAGGATGTAGGCATTCGCTTTGTGGTCGCAATACATTTTGAACTTGTAAAAACCTGCATATAATGATATTCCAGTATCATCTTGTTACAAGCATACACGCAGTCTCAGAGCAAAGATCTTAATAATTATAAAGATGTCCCAATATAAATAATAAATTTACAAAAAATTAATATCAGGTAAGTAAGGGGTCTACCCAAAATATGGCAACATGAGTCTTCGACACAAAAAAGTTTGGAAAACTCTGATTTATAAGATGTATTGTCACCATTGTGTGCTGTATACTAAATATACTTTATATTTGATATGAGAACAGATTTTAATGCATTTTTTTTAAATAGGTAGACGCAATAATATATGATGATAACCTTTGAGCTACGTACATTCACTTAATTTAAAAATAGATTATATTTTCAGATCGTATCGTCATTTTATCAATTGGATTATCTATCTATCCGATTTTATTTATTAAATCCGTTTGATTTTACCCTTGATCAAAACCATACAATAAAATAAATTATACTAATTCTTAATTTATAACTTAGAAATTAACAGTAGAATATTTCTAATAAAATTAATATGTTTTATATAGGTTTAATTATATTTTTATTCATTAAATTGTATGGAATGCTTTCGTAACTAAAACATTAATTAAAAGTCCTGTATCAAAGCATACGCTGACAAATCGATTTATAGTTTTTCCGATTACCATCGCCGATAAATTATTACGACCATTAAAAAGGGGGTGTTTCAAACAAAAGAATTAACTTCGCTGAACACGCTTCATGGATCTGGTCAATTGCTAGCATAATCAGTGACATTCTAATTCGAACAACAAAAAAAATAGTTGTTGTTGATTCAATTTTGGATAAAGTTTATAAACAAAAAATAATTAGCATTCAATGAATTTATTAGACATTAAATTTGTTTTCTAGTTTATTGGTGAATGTGTCTTGTTTATCAAATTCCTAATAATATTTATTTGTTTACATACAATAAATCGTTGACAATTATTATGTAATTTAAAAAAAATGCATATAAAAATAATTTTAACTAATTATTGCTTTTCTATATTGTTTATTTCTATTTAAAACCAGACGTTAATTATAATAAACTATCTATTATATTTTCAATGTTTAATTTTTTTTAATTGATTAATGTAAGTTGGATACAATAATAAGAAATGTCTTCAAAACCCATTACATTATAGAAGAAGTAATTAACAAGTATAGAAATGTTTATCAACTTTATGGCTATAAGCTAATAATCACTTGATTATGAGTGATAAATAAATAGAAAATGCTAAAACCCTTTATATTTTTTGAATGATTAAAATTCTCCATGTGCAGTATTTAACGTTCGTGCATATAAAACGGATGGTGTTTTTGTTTTGCTCATAACGTTCATTCATTTTACTCGTAGCGGTATTTATGCACTATTCAAAAGGATGTGACAAAGTAACGGAAGATTTTAAATTAACATACTAATAAGTTATTTTTATTCATTACGTAAATATTTTCACACTGAAAATTGAGTAAAGTAACAAAATATAAGTTTTTGTTTAAAAAAATAACTATTTTTTCCTATATATATATTTTTTTCTGTACATAGTAAGCAAGTTGAAGCGGATCCTCCTAATATACACCGAACGTACAAAACAAAGCAGAGCAGAACGTGCACTTTTTATCTCCACTTTCCTACTTCCGGTGCGTTTGAAAATAAACCCCGGTACAGTTTGATATTTTCGTCGTGGAAAACCCTTTAAATATGTCAACGTCTGAATTAGATTTCCTACAGACAGAGAGAGAAGACAGTTGTATTTTTAGTCCTTTATCTAAATTTCAATATTATCCACGTCTATCAAAAATAAATATGTAATAGCGATCAATCGATATTTTGAAGACCGATTGGAAACATATGCATACTGGTGAGCACATAATCCACCCTTTCATAGCCACTGACAAATATTGAACTTGGGGTGGCATTTCTCTATTTGTTCTGTCTGCGTTTTATGTGTGTGTGTGTGTATTGAAAAAATCGTCACAAACACGTATATTCATTAGCCACATGGGGGTCTAATAAGTATTTGTGAGGGCATTATCATCAGCAAACAGACCATATTTGAATCCACCACTAGATTAGATAAGCTTGGAAATATTCAACGCTTCCCTTATTCTCTTCAGAAAATAAAACATTCATATATTATACTTGAATACAGTTTTTCCTTGAATCATGGAAAATTGTATAATTCATTTAACATCTATAAAATATAATAAAATAAATATTAGTTTATAGATAAATATTTAAAATTAAACTGTTTCAATGGTCATTGTCCTTTCGTACAATTTGCAAACGATGATATTATTTTTTTTAATTTTATTTTGTGGTGTAAATGCGTTGAGCAGCAATTTCTTTTATACTTAAACTAACTGTACTGTCTTTAGTTACTTAAAGTGCAACCTCAGATAAAAAAAAATACTGAATGCGTAACACGATTTGAAGACTTAATCCTTTGATTGTAATTTTTCTTTGTTATTTATTATCAATGAATAATAGTTTTTTTTTTATCAAAAACTAATATTTACTAATAATACTATTTGTATTTTTACTGATGTAATTGTTAGCTCAATTTCATTGAATAATATAAAAATATTTATTGTAATCATGAAATTATATACAAAGGATACAAACGATAAGTTTCATAATGAGTGTCACTTATTTTAAAAATGATTCAGACAGGAATGACGTGATAAGCAGAACCATCCCACATGAATATTAATCGGTGACCTTTTAGACCTAACCCTTGTTCCCAAACATAAACAGGACTTCCGTTCCCTTCGGCTGACCTTAGCCGCGTTCCAGCAGACTAACCCTTGCTTAATTATTCTCGAAGCGAATATACATACGCATATACACAAAAAAAAAGAACTATTATAATAGACAAACCGAATAATGAACCGGACTCCGACAAGTGAAATCACAACGCAACCCCTTTTTCCTTTCTTATTCATCGCATAATTATGTAATCACGACCCTCCTGTTGAATGCAACGATGCAAACCACCCCACGTTATGCACAAGTGCTCTTTAATTATTATTCAAATAACTATTTCCTGTTGGATAATGTTGAATTGCGTACCATCATCATCACAGTACGTAACGCGTTCACCGATAATGTCATGGTGGTGGTTCGGAACAGGTAGATTGTCGCTTCCTGGATCCACTTGTTTGTATGTCGGATTCATTCGGGGTTGCTACAAAAGGGGAATAAATGGTGCGTTTAAATGGTCCGTTTCGATCAGGAAATGGCGCTGCGGTTTCGTCCATTTTCGTTCGAGGATAGCGAAAGAGGAAATCGATTGTTACCTTATTCCTGAGCCTTGACTTATTTTCCCATTTCAAGCATCAATACACGACTAATAGGCTAATTTAATTCCGTAATTAAATTAAAAATAGTCGTACATTTTGAAACATCGAGCCGACGTTTACAGTTAAATGATGTTCCATTAGTTAAGAGGAAAAGAAGTGGAAGAAAGAAATATTCCTTAGAAATAGTAACATAATACAATTTTTCTTTCGTGTACAGTTTCGACGATAATATTGTCTTCCCGAGTCTGTCTTATCTACACGGTTAGAAGCGAAGGAACGTTGGATTCTGGGTCAGGTTGAATGGTTGCGGCTGAGGCTATAGTGAAACGCAATTAACGGAGGTGTCCTCCGAAGGTGTCGCAATGAGGACCACGCACATAAACCACGAAGGAATGAAGGAAAAAACGTTCACAACGCAAGTGCATTATGTACGGCTAGAAAGAGTGGAGCAGTGACATCACGGTGGTCATCGGCCTATGGGGTACAGAGGGAAGGTTACACGCACTGCTGGAGGTAGCCATGGGGTCGACAACCGGGCATCCCCGCGTCTCCTTCAGTTACAACATTATGTATATAAGTACATCTTTTCCCATACGTTCCTTCCATATAATAAGGAGGGGCACGAAAGATAAGTCGACTATAACTATCTACCCTTCGGATTGTTACGAGGAGAAGGAAATGAAAGAGAGTGGAAAGAAAAAGAAGTAAAAAAAAAAACGGTTTATAGTTACCCACGCAAGGGCAAACGAAGGGATGTTCACCAGACAAGGAATTTAATTTGTTCCATAGCTCGCCTCAATAAAAATTCATTATAAAAATAAAGCACACGAACGTTCCAACGGCAAAACATTTTTTTCTCTTACGAAAATAATAATATAGAAAAAAGAAACGAACAAACTTTCGAGATGTTCAAGAATTTAGGAACGTAATTAATATTTTTCTTGTCTAGTCTGCGTTTCCTGTTCACGCCGAAGAAACGATTCTACGTGCTTCACAAATAAAGTGGGACATTAAAATGTAACCCTTTGCTCAGCGTTTTCATAACAATTCCCTGTATTTATTTCCGCATTTGCACATTCTGCAGAATCAGAAGAAAAAAAAAACGAAGCGAATTCGAGCGTTGAAGAACGGCTCAAAGTAATTCGAACTTTTGTTCTGTCCACATCGAAGAGATTGCTTTTAGTTATCGTTTTCCGGAAAGCCGTATGGTAACTTCCTGGTTACGAAAGTGCGTAGCATTTCATCGAATTTATGTTGCAGATGTCGAAATTATTTCTGGTGTGCGCTATGCTGCTGCTGGTGGTAGCGGTAAACGCGGATAAAACCAAGAAAGAAGGTAAATCGAAAAAGGAGCACTCGAAACCAGTGCCGTGTACATGTGGAATCTTCCTCAGCGGACAGCTTAAAAAGGGATCCAAAGATTCCCCCAAGGGAGATCCGGTGCTCACGCAAGAATTGGATACGCACTTCGCTCACAATTCCATCGGACAAAGACAATGCGCCAACAAATGCTTAGAAAATGTAAGTTTCTTTTTGTTTCCATTGCACACGATCTAATGGAACCGTATAAATTACTATTAGAAGACAACAAAGAAACCAAAACCAATTATAGTTTATCTATTAGTTTCCAACAAATTAATGTTGGAAATATAATAAAATTACATAACTTATGTTCTGTTATTTAATTCAACAGATTTTTTTACTATTATCATAAAAACTTGATAAATCGTTTAACGAAAACAACAAATATAAATTTTGTCGTCAGTCATAACTATTTGTAGACAACGCTTATTCAATTATTCAATTTAATGAATAATAATAATAACATAATATTCTCAATTATCAATAAAATTTATTATTATTGATTAATAACAATAATAACACTATTTAGATATGTTTTATTAACTACATTAATTTGGATATATCAAGTAATTAGTGCATTATACATTTCGGTCAGAATTTCTTTTTATTCAAATTGTTTCCGGTTAACTTGTTTTTAATTATATCTTGATACGGTGAGAGCCGAAATGTCGTTTAATTTAAATATTTGATCCGAATTAACTACAAAGATAAATCCGACCGAGTTTTGATATCTCCCACGATGCATCCGCTAAAAAAACTATAAAAAAAAACATGTAGTTTTAATAACGGTAATATGCTTCGAGTGCATACAGGCATAGAAATTTGTCACATCAGCAGACACAAATAATATAAAACATGTTATTTGATTGGCAGTAAAAGTATTCAATTAGGATTTATATTTTATTTTAAAGGATTACTGCAGTTTTAATGCTTAATTTTAAGTGATATTATGCAGTTACGAGATACAACTGATCTGCATAAACTTTTATTGATTTATGATTCTATTAGAGGCGAACGTACTTGACATTTCAAAGTGCTTAATGCGTGTGGTTCTAAGAGTTAGTAGCGTTGAGGATGAATTGTACTTCTTTCATTTTTAGATGATTAAACATTTGCCCAAAAGTGCCGACATAATTTGTGCAACGGTCGATCGAGATGTGAGAAAAGAGAAAGCTTTACTCTTCACCAAAAACTACGATGCCACTTGGATCAACAGTAACATGTCCGCTGGCCGAGATTTCTGCTGCAAGGATAACGTTCCGTACAAGTGCCCATTAATGTAAAACCATAACGTATATAGGAAATAAAATACAAAACAAATAAATAAATTAGAATATTTGGAGGATACGTGTGTTGCGCTTTTAATTCAATCTGTTGTTCGTAATGTAGTAGTGGTATTTCTAGTTGCAGCAGGAAATCATTAAGAATTTGGTTTTTTATACACGACCGCGGCGGCCGGGTGGAGGATGAGAGGGGGTGTATTATGTAACCAAGCTGCTGGTGTTGGTGCCTTTGGTTTGGCACCACCAAGGTCAGAGGAGAGTAGATACGAACAAGCCAGTTCTTTAGTATTCATGTAACACTTGGTTATAGAGGCGTCAGGTGTCTGACTTGACTATAATCACAAAGAGCCAGATTAGATTTCTTTATATGGCCTCAGATGGACGTAGAGCTATTATGTTTCTCTCCTAGTGGATTTGTTCACGGAATCACTGAACGTTGCAGAAATTCAACGGGATACACGCCTCCTATCTCTCTCACTCCATTACGAATTATGTGCTAACCTTTCTAAATCCCCTTGGTAAAATTCAATTAAAAAAGTCCCTATTATAATTAGCTATGACTGTTTAAATACTGATTAATATGCGCTCTAACGCAATACGTAGTTCCGGCGAAGCATAAGCTTCTCGAAAGGAAAATATCTTGTTTTTTTGTTGTTGTTGTTATTTGTTTTACTGAATTACCAGTTACTACATTATATACATATAATTCGAATTACGACTACTTCTAAGAACTGCTAGAAACAATTTTACTTTTTCAACATTAACTTTGCGTCTCCATGCAAAACGACCTTCCGACATTCATCCACCGTGCAGAGGAACTTAACGGTAATAATCTTCCTCAATTCGGAGATTTCTACGCTCACGGTGACCTCCTCGTCGGCGTAGCATTTGTTGGGAAAATTAAGTGTTTGCGACAGAACCAGAGTTCCTGCACCAGGAAGCCGCGTCCCAATTACCCCAGAAACGAGACCATTAAGAAGAGCGCCATGCACTACCGCCCTCTCGTTCTTACTAGTAGAATGAATCGGATTCGAATCACCACTAAGTCTCGTGAAAGCCTCAACATCTGCTCCAGTTATCTTCCTTACAACAGCCACCTTATCACCAACTTTTAAACTTCTCAAGAAACTAAACAATCTCATTATTATTTCGGCAAAGGAATATACTCCGTTGAACTGGCCAAAGCAACTTGCTGAGATGTACAAAAATCTTCAATAAAAATGTTAGCTAGATTCTTTAATCTTATGTTCCTATGGTGCTGGTAACGAAGCACTTTGTTGATCAAATCTGGCTTTGTTAATAGATGATTATTTTCTGGTGTGAACAAGTAAATCAGTGTTGTTAATGCATTCACTGCAATCTCTTCATTCCTATGTGCAAGAATCTCAGATATCAAATGAACACCATTCGATATAATTATGTACTCGCGATTTTCAGGATCTGAAGACATCAATTAAATTACAAACATATATGTGCAATTAAAACTAAATTACCTATGCAAATATTGCATAAACCAGCAATTGAGTATTGAATTAACTCCTCGGAATTCTCACTAAGCTGTGCTAGAAATAAATCAATGATTTGGATTTCCTTGAGAAACTCATAATTGATTGGGTCATAAGCAAAGTTGGATAGATTCGCTAAGATTTGTTTCTTCGATTCTAAAATAAGAAAATATTAGTTTTTGGAGTATTGTTAGGTTAGAAAACTGTTACCATAAGATTTAGAGACCTCAAATTCCTCTTTTAACTTCTTTAAATAGCTCCGACGTTCTTCTGGACCACCTTTATTTTGCAATTGATCTTTTCTTGTGAACATCGTGAACACTAATATATATTTTTTACTTACATTCAAATACAATTAATAATTAAAGAGCAACTAATTCTTGCATTTGGTCGCAAGAGGGCACATCAGTTGTCCAATAAAAATTCTTAACAGTTTTGTATACAAATTGATTAAATTTTCACAACTAAAAAATTATTAGAAAAATTTATAATTTTTATTTTTCTTATAAAACGTATAGAATCTATACTATAGATAATTTAAATATCCTGAATGCATTCCGTGTATTTCCTGTAGAACTACGAGGAATGTATGATATATGTGGATATACATGAAAGACCAAATTATTTCCGGTATTAATAATACATAATACATCATGTTTCTTGAATTTCAAAGAATTTATTCAAATTCATATAAATTATTAACCGAACTTGAATATTCGTATATTTAATATAAAATAATATTGTAAATAATTTGTAACTTTTGATGCAACTGAAAGAAAGCAGTGAATGTTTGCTTCAAGTAATATTTATCAAAATATCACTAATTTTTAATACAATCAAAACAACTTAAAAGGTGATAACAGATAAATGCGATTGTAGTTATTAGTATTAAAACTTTGTATAGTAGTCTAGATAATAAATTAAGACAAAAATATGTTTTTTTTTTATCAAATAACGTATAAAGAATCATTACGTTAATTGATTGATCTTAATTATATATAATTATAGATAAATAATGAGATTTTAATAAAAACATTGATTGTTTTACTCAATGATTTAATTTCTTTCATTCTTTCGTGAGAAAAATAGACAGAATTATTTAAGTTTAATCCACTTGAATTAGTTGTATAATTGATACAGAGCAATCAAATATTTCTTTAACATATTAGATTATGAATAAAATAAGTCTAAATGTAATAGAGTAAATGCACAACACACATGATTAGATTTAGTATTGAACAAATTGCTATGGTATCAATTAATCAAACACTTCTAATACCGGTTATTTTATTTAATGAATAGATGATATCTATAATTCAGTAGTTAAATCCCTAGCGTAATTAAAAAAATAATAGATAATAAGTTTGAAAAATGTCTCTAACACGTTATTTGGATTTGTTTAGTTGTGCAATTTAAAAATAGAAATCAATGCACTCCTAGATATAAACATTATCAAAAACGATACCAAGTAGATTACAGTATAAAAACACAGTGCGCTTAAATGAAATTGTTATTCGTAAGCTTGAAATATAAGAATGAAATTGATTGTATTTAGTTGCATAATCCTCGGAGCTTTTGCTTCCGAAGAGTATGCTCCAAAATTGGGTTTCCAATTGGAAAATAATATTCAAGGAATCAACGAAGCAGCCAAATATAATGAGTAAGTAGTATAGTATACAATTTGTATGCATGTATTTTAATTATATTTGTTTTCCAATTAGTAAATTTGAAACAAGCGATGAAATTAATCAATACGTTGATGAACTTATTAAGGAAATTTACAAGGAGATGATTAAGGGTTACGATCCGATCAAATTACCCGATATTCACGAATCCTTCAGTTATGTAAGTATAAGCATCTTATACTAGTTGTTTAATTATAAATTTATGTATTATCTGCAGAAACCCATCATTATAACTTATCATGGAGAATTGGATTTGACTAAAGGATGGCTTCAAGGTACGTCGATGTTCAAAAGGAATGGAGACGTTACTTTCCATGAATTAGATGAGGGCATTTACGAATTAATAGTTCCATTGAAGTTTGACACCTTCTTGGTAAGATTTGTTTATACGAAACAGAAATTAATGTAGTAATTAATGAAAAATACATTTCTAGTACAATTATGATTATTCCGCTAAAATTATGAACTTGGGACCATCCGGCACCGTCGACGGTCAAGTTGATAATATCGAAGTGGTTTGCAGTTTCCTGGTCGTTGCAAACAACAAATTCATTAAGTTGCAGACCTATGAAATTAAGAAGCACAGCCACATCAACGTGAAATGGCACGGCAACGTTTTGGTCGATTGGTTGTTCAACATTCTGTCATCAATTGTGAATGGTGTTTTCAAGGATGGAATCAAGGATTGCATGGAAATTGGTCTTGCTGACATCGTTGAAGTAACAACCAAAATCTGGGAGAAACAAAATATTCTTGGATCTTTATTTTAAATTAATAAACTTATTGTAAATTTCAAATTAATTCTTTTATCAACATATTTTCCTGTTTTAAAATTTACTACTTCCTTCTTGGGAGAGCATTACTACTTTTAGCATACTTTTTCCTTATAAGTTCTGAAGTCATCAAGTCATTAATAAAAACCTAATAAATTTAGATGGTTCCTCATTGCAATTATCCAATTTCTTTATCTATTCTAAATATTTATATTTAATTGATTTTTGAACTTCGAACTTGCATGGTATTTAATCGTGCTAAATATGATTAAATCTGACAAATTTGGGATTTAAGATATAATTATCCAAACTGTAGTTTTTTTTTTAAATAATACAATGAGAAGTCATATTCAAATGAAATGTTTGTTTCCCAAATATATTGATCAAACAATAAGATTTACAATGGACGTCGAAGGCGGTTTATCCACGAGCAATAAGTTTGTAGAACAATTATCAGTATCCATTTTAAGTAATACTATAGAAGAATTAAGTATATTAAAAAGTATTAACACCAATAAAAGCGTAAGTGCGTTTGGGAATATCTATAACTGCGATAAATTTCTTGAAGAATTAGCATACATAGAAGACATACTCATTGAAACGGTACAGGAAATCAGCGAAAAACAAACTTTTAATGGCATCAAGCAAATTATTGTTAAGGAAAATAAACAGAACAAAGAGGATAACAATTTATTACAGAATGTTAAATCTTCTGTGCTGACATTAGCGGATTTGAAAAAACAAATGAGAAATTCAGACGATGAATGGTACATTGAAAATAAAGAAAAGGAAGAATATTTGGGAAACCTAAAGGACGAGTATGAGGTAAGTGGATTACATTAATTTAATATGTTTGTGTATTGTTTTTATTATTGCAGAATCTAATCATGGAATTTAAAATCAAAGAAAACTATATTTGGAAGTGGCAAAGTTCTCAGATGGAACAAGCGCGAATGAAAATTAAAATACAGGAAGATAAGTTACGGGAATCACTTCAAAAAGATAATGATAACATAGAAAACGAGTTGCGTGTGAATTTGGAAATATTAATATATCTGACTCAAGTTATCACAGTAAGAAAATCTATTTGTATTGTACTTATGTTAATTAATGTATTTTTAAACAGGGCATTGAAGATAAAGTGAAATTTTGGTCAGAAAAGTATGAAAATGAACTGAAAGCTATGAATGATAAAATTGCGTCGATTGAAAATGATAAATTGTCTATACGATCTAGAATTGTCGAAATGACTGACTTGGTAAATATGTTAATGTAAGTTTAAGAAAACGATGTTAATTTAAGTATTTTAGTACAATCAACGCGATATGGAGATGAAGAAGTATCAAGTATTTAAGGAAGAAAAACGTTTGGAAGCCGAAGAAAAAGCTATATACAATGCCAATGCAATTATAATTCAAGCTTGGTGGAGAGGTGTAATGGTTCGTCGAAAGTTGGGTCCATATAAACCAAAAAAATCAAGAGGGAGAGGTAAAAAGCAGAAGAAATAATAACAGATTTTGGTTGCAATGTTTAAAACTTATTTGATAAATAAAAAATCACAGTGTTGTTTATTCATTTTATAATTCCCAGAGCATTTTGACGTTTTCGACAACTTCCGCTTCGGAAGCCCGTTTATGGAACATAAAATATCCTTGCACTTGTGCTGGACTGACAGGTTTGTTGAAAGATACCACTTTTTCAGCGAAACTCGCAGCATTTATACCAGAATTTTCAGTTTTATAAAACCTTAAGAACATTTGTTCCAATTGCTCTTGCGAACACCAACCAATGTGTTCCTTCAGATCCACTCTTCCAGGACGAATCAAAGCTGGATCCAATCTGTGACGTAACCATACAAAAATATCAATGTAGAATCTGCACACAAAAGAAAATGAAGTAAATCATACCTATCCAAATAATTGGTCGTCATAAATACGATTCTTGCTTCGGTACTTGCAACGCCATCTAAACAATTTAAAAGACCACTGAAGGTAACACGATTCAAACCCTCGAACGCTGATTTTTGTTGCTTCGTGTCTTCTCGCGATAAAAATGCAGCGTCTATATCTTCCAAAAGTATTATTGCTTGTTGCGGAGCCACGCTCAATAGATGATTTAACCTATCGTCTGATAAACCCCTTTCGGATAAATTAAGAACGCAAATGCCAAATTCCAATTCTCCCGCTAATGCCGTTATAAAAGATGATTTTCCACAACCCGGAGGACCATGCAGAAGATAACCTGAAATCAGCAGCTTTAGCACTGGTCATATTTTCACTAGATATAATTTACCTCTTCTATAAGGAATGCCTCTATCTGTGTACCACGACGGATTCGAAATAAAATCTCTGCAATCCTGAAGAATGCGTCCACTAATACCAGAATCTAACACTACGGAATTAATTGGTCTTCGTTTTCTAGGATGCCCCAATGGCCTCCATTCACTTCCAATCGCTGAGTACATAATCGTCTTTCCTTCGTGGGCTTTCAATGCCATTTGTCTAGCTAACACATTTTCAATTATTACCATCTTACGTTTAAATTATTATATAAAAAATATTATATTTTAATTAATGTCAGTTTAGTTATTACAGAAATGTCAATCCAAATTTTTAAATATTGTATGTTTTTAATTGCATTACAAATAAATGTAGTGACTCCAACAGCGCTTGAAAAGGGTAAACATGAAATAGAGGATGTATCATCATATGATAAGGTGCTAATTGATAGAATCTCAAACAATGTTAATTCATTGACACATGCAAATAGAACATTTCCAAATACAACTTTGGAAGCATTGAATCAATTGAAATGGAACGATATACTAAACAATCAGCAAATGATGCGAGAGATCTTCAAAAAACTTGGTATAGGAACGGTGACAACGTCTAAATCACATAAAAAACATTACAGAAAACAAGAAATAGGTGTAATTGATGCTATAATTGATTGCACGGTGGATGAATTGCGTAGCATGTCACTTAGAAAGATACTACAGGCTTTAGATCATTTGGATCAAGTCAGTTTGCCTTTACAGAAGAAAAGTATCATATGGGAAATATATAAGAACGGAACATCTGTGGGGACATTTAGAAAAGATGATTTAGAACGTGTCGGAGATTTAATACTTGATATACCAGAAAACGATTTATATAATATCAATGTTACAGATTTGAAAATTCTGAATTATTTTGGTAGGTTTAACTTATAATGGAAATGTGATAAATTTAATAAGTAATTCTAGGTTGCATGAAACACATGTCGAAGAGAAAAGCAAGTATTCTAATATATTCACTGCAAAATCACTACAACCAAAATGAAATATTAACTGCGGACTTCATAAATAACATAAATGGTTTAATTTGTGGATTTCCAAGTTATATATTGGAGACGTTGAGCATAGAGATGATTGATGAATTATCGCCCACCGTATTTAGGAACTTGTGGGCTTGCGATCGTCAACAACTAATGGTAACATACTAAACAATCTAAAGTCTGCATAATATAAATTTTAATTTAATTGTAGATTTTATTAAGACTATGTATGCATTTAATACGCTACAGTAGCATTGAAACATGGACTAATGAGACAGTCAATGATTTAGGGTTTCTGATTATTGGTTTAAATGACAAGCAAATAAAGCATATAGAGCCTACTGTTATGCAATCTTTGAATGGATACGTTATCCAACGGCTCGATAAAAATCAGCATTCATCTTTAAGCATGGCACAACTTGATTATTTAAAGGAGGACGCTTTGGTTGTCTATTATCAGAAAAAAATATATTATTCTAGATGTGCACAAACTTCTGTAGATTTATATTGTATTATATTTATATTTTTTATAAATGCAACATTGACCTATGAATGCTCTTTACTATCTAAATTAATTTATATCTAGAAGTTTAAACTTAAAAAGAAATCAAATTGAACAAAAACATATATGAAGATCATGAAAAATTTACATAAATGAGGACTGATTAAATGTAAGTTAATATATAGTTTTGTATTGTATTGTAAAAAATATAAATACCTTCTTCTAATATATTAAAATATATAGATTTGTCTCTTCCAAATGCAGTTAATTGGACAGTTTCCCATGGAACTCCCATATGCAAATCCAATGTGTGTTGTTCTCTTGTTCTTTCCACTCTGATCCATGTGTTTTTGTAGCTACAAAAATATGAATAAAATTAATCAAGATAACTTTGAAAACTGCAGCTATGGTAACAAATAACACTTGAAATATCAATATAAAATATAAATAACAGCAGAAAATTAAATCAATCAAAGAAGTTTAAATAAGCTCTTATTATGGATTGCTCAGAGATACCTAAGCCCAAAGTGATGAGAGGATTTTGTTGGGCACAATCCATGAGGAACCTAACAATAGCTATGATAGCAAGTGCAGTAGCTGGTGTAGCAATGTACTTTCGAAGAAAATTCAAAGAAGAGAAATATGCTGCATATCACAGGGACAATGATATATATGATGTATTTGAATCAATTAAGGCAACAGGAGCTTTTCAATCATGTAAATAAAATTATTGTTGTTATTACCTGAAGAAGTGTGTACCTATACTTGGAATAAAATCATATTTTGTTTTGACGTGTCCTGTGTCTTTCTGTTCAAAACTAGTTTCCACACTTAAATGTTGTGTAGATCTTGCTCCTTTCTGTGTCATCCAGTGTAACAGCCATTGATAAGATTTATCTCTGCATGGTACTTCCAGAGTTATCATGTAATGTCTTCGGAAGAGTATCATAGACCCTTGAAGACTTTTCCTTAAAATTGCTGCTCCTGCACCAAGACCAAACAAACCGAAGCCTGCACCAAAATATGGATTATCGGAAAGCGCACCTACATAATCTATTATAGTCATATTAGAGGACAATTATTTACAATTTCAGTTTAATTAATAAGAAAATTTAAGCTTTGTATAGGTTATCTAATAATTAAATATTGTAGGTTAGATGAATGTACTTCAATATACTTCAGGTAGATGGCAATAGCTGTGTGTTAAGTTTATAATTGCTATAATTCAAAGCTTTACTTTATAATATTAATTTGCACATTAATTATATTTATTAACATAAGAAATAGAACGTTTTTGGAGATTTTACTATAAATTCTATATTTGGGAAAAATTTCCTATTGTCTTGTTGGCATGAGTAATCGGTATGCTCTGACAGCCGGGACAGCTGTCAGTTGGTTGGGATATCATTTCGTGAAGTGAAGTGGCCAATTCATTGATTAAACAACTTCTATAAAATGGTAAATATTATTGCTTATACCATGATATTCTTAATAAATATTAACATATTCTATGCTATAGTCGTTTTCGGAAAGGATTGCCCAGATCATGGCCAGGCCAGGACAAGATCCTGTAGCCAAGGATGATGTTCCATGGTGGATGAGGTATGCAGGAAGAGGTCTTGGGACAGTAGGCAGTGTCTGTAAGTATCAATTTACTACTAACTATTATTTCTAATTCATAATTGTAGAATACACACATTTCTGGTATTAACAAAAAAAATAAACACATTTACAACAAAAACACTGAAAATCAATATGTTCATGTGACTTGCCATTATTTGATTATACAAGGATTATAATGATTTTGAATTAATCCACTTCTTATTTTACTTTTAAATATGTAAGATAAATTAAATTTATTGCAGACATTTTTAAGTAGCATTGAAATGTTATAATCTTTAAACAAACAATCTTGAAAGTATTGCTAGTTGTTTTTTCTAATTATCATGATAATGTTCATATCTGCAGCATTATAAAAATAAACATATTCAAATAATGTATAACTATTGTAAAGTATATTTTACAAAAACTATATAATTAGATCTAATTATATTTTATTATGTCGAAATTATTTAAAAGTACAATCTTATAACTTGTAAACATGATAAAATAACTTTTTAAAAGTTTTATTTTACATTTAAAAAAAAATGGATTAATTATAATTGAAACAAATAGGAAGGAAATAATCAGATCCAATAATTCTTATTTATATATTGTTTTCTTTTAAATTTGTTACAGTTGCGATACTGCTTGGTTTCTTCAATTGTCTAGGAATTATAACCGTTGATACCGATAGTTTGCTCAGTGGGATGTGGCAAATTGTTGCCGCGTTTATAGTCATTTGTTGCGAAGCTCCGTGCTGTTGCATGTTTATAGACCACGTACAGCGATTGAGTGATTTTGTGGAAAGAAGACCATACTGGAACAAGGCTGTGTTTTACGTGTGGTATGTGCTCTATTATTGATTACTTGTTACATAAAATGAATAATCTGTTTCCGTTTTAGCCTGGCCATTCCGCCAATTTTATTAAGCGCAAATTTGAACAGTATATTGGGCGGTGGATTCATTTTCGCCACGGGCGTAATATATGGCATGATGTCCTTGGGTAAAAAGTAAGTTTCCTTTTATCTCGTACGATACACAATGCTTCTAATAATATTCTGTAACTGATGTGTGACTAAAACTGTGCGGCTCCTTTCATATCACGTTTAATTATCACGATTAATTAGAGCGTCAAGAGAAGATATGGCCGCGATGGCTTCGCCCCAGATGGCTACTTCTCCCACCGGTATGGGAGCCAGCGACCATCACACCACGTTAATGGAAGACCCAGACGTTTGGCGCCCAACATAAATGTACTAACAATATCAAGTATTTTACATACACAAAACATGCACTCGTCTTCCACGAGGACTCGTAGCTGTAATCAAAGGCATTTTGCACTTGCATGACCCTATTTAGTGTACATTTCCTGCAGTTCGGTATATTAATATATATTGCATGGGTTTATCTTTTGATTTTGCGTAGTTTTATAATTATTATCTTGCGTCGTTTGACTTAATACGAATGCACGATGTATTTTACTCGGATTACAATATTTCTCGTTAAATCTGTAAATTATATTTTGTTTTGATAATAAGTAAATAGATTGTCGCGACTGAAATAGATTATAAATCCTTGATAGCAAACGGTGGTAAAACGATCCCATTTTTATAGTTCATTTATCTGTGCCCCGTATTTATTTTCTATGCATGCTCGTATTGAATTTATTTTTATTTCGTGTTTGTGTAAGATATTCAATTGTATATTTGACTTTATGGTTTATTTATCTTCTTTCTTTCCCGAAACAACAATAGGGCCAGTGCTGAAGAGATGCGATCTGCGGCTGCTGCGGAAACAACAGGTACACAAAAACCAACAAACTCTTCCATGCATTCCAACCTTGTATCAAACGCTCAACCGATTAGTTTTACCGGTGTTCCCGATAGCAACGTTTGACTTCGTTTTTAATTATTTTATCGTTATTTATGAAACGTTATCCTTCCATCGGCGATTGATTTTGCACTTCCTGTAGAAGGAATATTTGACAATGGAAAAAAAATCTTGAAACGTATAATTTAAGATGAAATGAAATTATTTATAAAAAAAACAGTAATTTTGGTAGTGGAATCGGAAAGGATGGCCAAATTGTTTTCCCCTATCATTTTTCGATTTGCAACTCCCATATAATTCTGAGATTATGGATCCGTCTGTGAATATAGTTTTTATGCAATATAATTTATATAATACATTTTACATATATTATAATAAATCTAGATTCTACTTACGTGAATTCAGCTATTGGTTTTCTTAGGTTTTAAACAAACATGTACTAATTTGTATCCTTCCATTATCATTTTAAACGTAATTATTTATTTAAAGTGATTCTAAGACTGTGCGTTGTAACTTCCCACCTTTTTTTTTACTTTATGTCATAAGCTCAATCCTATATTAATTTACTTGTCGGAAACATCTGGGCTTACGTGGCCTACGAAAAGTTACAACTGAGATCCACCATCAAAGTTGTATTATTTTAGCCTAAATTACATTCCTTTAAATCACTGCATTTGTTGTCGTTGTTGGAAAAATATATAAGAAATGTTAACGTACTATCCACATATCAGCGATGTTATAATATGAATTAACTTAAAAAAAAGTAAATAAAGATCTTTATTGCAGTTTATAAATATGCAAGAAAATATGTACTACTAATAATAGAAAATAACTTTAGGTCGTATTACTCAAATTACATAAAATTTAAGCTGATATTCTTGAATATGCTATATAATCAATAGTTCCGTGTGTTTAGACTTCTGAATTAGACTGTTGAATTAGTACGTACACGAAACACTGTTAGTATTTGATGTGAATATTTCTGATCTTTCCGATGACCAACTCATATGTATATAGTTTCAAAATTGTTGTCGAGATTCTTTTTGCTACCGTCTCGTTGGTCCAATTTCATCTTCGTAGCAAACCAAGTCATCTATACCGAATATTTATACTGTAGGGAAGCTTAAATGTGTTTTTAGTAATGCAAGTGAACTAGTGAGTTTAGGAGTAACAAAAAAAAATAATTCATATTAAAATTGAAACGCAAACGGATCGATCTCATTTGAAATGCGATTAATTGATTGATTGATGAGTGAATGTAAAAGACATTTTAATATCTATTATTTTTATGAACTCAGTAGTCTTTATCTAATTTCCATATGTTATACATAAATGTTTTAGTACTATAATTATATAATTTAAGACTTGTAGCCGTATGTGTTACTAATACATAAAAATGCATTAAAATTGTAATTTGTTGACTTGTATATTATACATAGGTGTAAAAAAATAAAAAAATAATACTTGTATATTAAATAAATTAATTAATATGTGATTTATTTATTTTAATGTTTATTTTTTTTTTTACATTTAAATTAAAGGTTCGTTGAGTGGATTGTCTCTAAAAAATAATTCGGACAGGATGCGATGGTCGAATTGGGCTTCGACATGCGTGTACGAGATTTTCTTCTGGGTTTTCTGCGTTGTCTGGCAACTTTTATCGCACAGGGAACCTCTGCTTTGCGCGAAGCTGTTCAAAATTTCGACTACACTCTTGAATTTCTCTTTGTAGTTTTTGCTTTTCACTTTGTACGCTTCCAGATTATCCGCCGCTTTATTTAGATGCTCTTTGAACGTACCTAAATCCTCTTTAAGTGCGTTCACTTCGATCCGCATACTCGATTCGTTGCCGTTCAACAGTTCGATTTGTTTCTCGTAACTGTCTTTTTCTTGCTGGCGATCTTCAGATAATGTTTTTAGAGCGTTCTTAAGTTGATTCATGGACACGTCGTTTTGTATCAGTTTCGTTTTGCATATTTCCAAAGCGGCCGTCAACTTGTTAATTTTACTCGACTTTTCCTGGTTCTCAAGCTTAAGCATGGCGTTATCCATTTCCAACTTACTTTTCTCATTGAGGGCCACGGCGTAGTTGGAAAGCAGGTTCTTACTAGGTTCCTGTTTTTCTTTCAATTTTCTTGACATATTTCATTCGGATTTAGGTGACAACGGATCAAAGGTTACTTTTTTCACTCCATAAGTTGTTCGAGTAAAATCTAGAGAGTCAATATTTACATGCGTCATTATTCGCTTATTTTAATATTAATTAACTACATTCGAATCATCGTCATTGAGAAATATTGTGAAATATACTTATATTCTTTTCATATACATTTATTAACTTTAGGAATATTTACATATTTTGTACTATCTGAAATTTCTATTTCATTTTATTTTTATAAATGATAATAATTACTTTAGACATAGAGTTTTTATTTATATTATACCAATATTATCACTTGATTCACGTATTAAAGGAAACTACACAATCTCTATTTTTTTTAATCATTTTCATCATTCTAGTAATGTTGTTAACTTGTCCAACATCGGAGATATTATTGAAGAACTTTCTGTATGGTTTGATGATTTCCAAATTAGTTTGATGATGTTGCAGATATGTTGTATATAAGACATATAATTCTAATATACGTTTGCATCAATCAGACCAGAAAATGTAAGTAAATTGATACTAAATGAAAATGAGTTTAAAATAATTAGCAATATAGGTAATTATGCCAGGACAATAACCTCGATACTAAATGCATTTGTTTAAACACCTTGTATACATACAATCATTAAGAGGCTTTTCGTGTTTGATGGAGGATACACGAAAACAATGAAGACTTCTAACGTGAATCATTGTAATAATGATTCAAGCGTTTTAAAAGCAAATGTGTAAGTTGAAGTAATAAATTATGACAAAGCATTTTATTTCAGTAACTACTATCAATGATAGTTGACACAACTCTCTAATCCACTCATTTGTTTATAACATATTTTTAAAATGGAAATCTTTTTAGAGAAATGTGGTTCTATTATAAAAGAAACCATTAAGATGGTTGTACTAGATTTCTCCAGAATTTTGCTTTGAAGCAGCATCCCGTTATCCTTTAAGATTATATCAGTAGTTACGTGATCGTTAACACGGACGATCTAAGCTTGAATTGTAAATATTAAAATTAGTACTAAATGATGTTTATTTTATAAATTTAAATATTTTGTATAAAATTGTTAACTGTATAATTACAACAATTATTTTCCATAATTCTTGGTTAATCTTTAATAATATGTTTTCAGAATTAGTACATGTATTATATACATTCAATAATCAAGGTAAATCCATATATGAGTATAGTTTTATGTTCTTTTACTTGTGACTCACGATTTTTTTTTAAAGTTAATATATTTTTTAATAACTTGACGACAAAATGTAAATATTTGTACGGGTTAAAATGCACGCGAAAGTAATTACTAAAATATACGTATCGCACTTAAAACCTATATAATTGAAGTGTTGATGCTTGTTGGAAAAAAATATGTTTTTTTTTATATGAGAGTCAACAGAAAGCACAAACATGTTGTTAGCAATTTTCTTTTGTGGTATCTTCAAATATGCTAATATTCGTAATAGGAAGCAGTTACAACACTCAATACACACAAAATCCATTTGAATGCATGATCTCCATGCGCAATTTCAATGAATGACAACAAAGACGCCTGCGTTTATACTGGACGAAACGCGAATTGCATTACAATTTGTTGTTGCAATTAATAGCCTCGTTCATAATGAGCAGAATAAAGAGATTGCATTTAGTACTCTGCAGTTATATTTCACCCGTGAATAGCCGAAGCGAAGAGTCGTTCAACCTAATGCATAATTAACGGATTATAATATGAAGCTGTTTGTTTTTGTATGCTGAATGTAAATTTCTTTAAAGAATTATAAGTTTTTTTTTATAGGAAAAAAAAAACGATAAAGTTTAGTTTCGTTTGAAATAAATTAAAAATTGTAATCTTTCTGCATAACACTATTTTGTTAAGTCTTAAGGAAAACATTAATAAAACGACTCACTGATATGACTATTATCATTTAGCACCTTGTAAAACATAGGTAAACCCCGTTATTGTTCTCAGACTTCTTAGAAATTAATCTATCACGCAGGAAATATCCATCGATGGAAAAGTACTATTGTGTTTGTTAAGTGATAATACTCGTTCTGAAAAGAGATTACATCTTACTCTGTTCTTTGTTGTCTGTTTTGTACGTTTTTGAAACTTATTGTATCTCGTTTCACCACTTTCACATCTTATTATATTATAGAACGATTATTCTAATTAAAATTACAATAATTGATATATTTAATGCATTTTTGTGCTTTTTATCATTATCATAAAAAAAAGTGTACAATAATGGTTGGAAATGAATTATTGATAAAAATTGATAATGTTAAACTTTCCATACTTCAAATGCGCGTATAAATTAGCCATTTTGCGCTGCTCAAGATAATAATAAGGTTTGGTAATCTCGTGAATGTAAACTAGTTGTAATAATTACAAAAAATATATATAAACAGGGTCATGAATGCATTACAAATTCAGGTTCTCGCATATAATTTCACTTTTTTGTTTAAGTACTTAAGTAGGTTAAATTGCGAATATCTGTTTTGATACAATATATTTATACCATCATGGTACAAATATATGTACCTTCTTATATTTTCTGAAACGCTAATTTTATTTAGTACGTGCTTTATCCTATCAGGACGAAAAACAACAGCGGCTGCAATCTACGTTATCATTAAGGAATAATAAAAATGGGATAGTAAAAACAATGATAAACCATGCGTAATGTATCATTGGCAAATTACCAGACAAAGCCATTATTTTTGCGCGCGTTAACTAATATCCACGATTATCTTCTTTTGTTGCTTGCGAAATGTAACGCATTCACTTTTGAACGATTACATTTCGCTGACCGTGAACGTGTATATTTATACACATATATGGCGTGCACGACACGAAATTAGTTTTGAAGACCGGTCAAATTGAATAATAAATGTATGTTAATTACTTTTTCATTGCGTTTCAAAGTGCAGAGTTCAATAAATTCATGGTCCATACTTTATTATTGATTTTTTTTTATTAATGTACGTAATTTTTTTCTTATTAGTGTGAATATATTTAATTATAAGAAGTCCAGTAATTTTGGACTTTAACATATTTTATGAATTGATTTTCAGCGTATCTAAGTTTCCTGTCATTTTGTAAATTATAATATATTTACATAACAGAGTCACAATAATTAATTAATTAAAAAAGAAACAGATGTCTTCTTATAGTCCTTCCGGGTTAAAATAATCTAACCTAATGTCTAATATAAAATCAATCAATTCACAAAGTTCACTTTGTATTTCAAAATTTCAATACGACAGTCGTATACTAAATTATCGGTGATTAAGAAATAATTGTTATTGTTTTTAACCAAATAATGAAACATATCTATCACAGTTCGTATTTACATTAATTGTAATAGAAAACTTATTATCATCTATTTTTTAAGGTGAAAAGATATTTGTGAAATATAAACTGATAAAAGCATTTTTAAAATAACATAAGATTATTTTTTTTTTTGAAAATCTACATTGTAATAATATGACTTGTTTCAATGTAAAAACAAATATGATCGTGATTTTCTACTTAAATCCCATTAACATTTTAATATTGATTCCTCTTAAAGTAACGGAAGTTGATGGACTTTTCCTGACACGAAATTTCCATAGAGTCATGACTCATTTGCGTCCTTCATCTAATGAAAAAAACGCATCAGTCAAGGTATGTGCGACTTGCGAACTCTTCTGGCTACGTTTATCATATTGAGAACGATCATTCGCACCAGTGACTTGCGGAATTACTGATTTTTTTTAATGCACAATGAACAACAATTGCCTCCAAATATATTACTAAATACATTCATTCGCTTTAAAATCGAGGCTAGTTATTAGGACACACTTTTTGTTTTTGCAATTTTATGATAAGAATACTGGCATGTGCAAATAACAGGCATTTTAGTCGACAACTTTATTTATGGATAAATGCGATAAGTTTCCAAGAATTGTAATTTTTGTTTTATTTGGGAAATTCATTTATTTGCATTAAACATACTACTATGATTTGTGCAAGGATTTCCCTGTTTGTAGTAATAAATGTATTTGCTAAAAGATTTTCATATGTGAATATTTGCAATATTTTATATTGAAATAAGTGATAAAACGTGTACAAAATTCTGTGAGAAGATTAAACGGATTTATCAAAAAAAATAAAATTAATAGCGTAATTATTAATGTACAATGGAAATGAGAAGCATTTTATGAACGTGCACATCTGGAATCGTGCAAGATGATAATTTGAAGAAATCGAAACCGTACTATTAGAAAACATTGCTTTAAATAAAATCAAATGCGTATAAACCTAGTTTTCTGTATTTCTTTCTGTTAATGAAATCGACAAGAAAGCTGAGAGTGCGTTTCGTACTGGGTCAATAAAATACTGGTTTAGTAATTGGCATATTTTAATTGCATAATGCTTGTTCTTATAATGGAATTGTATTTTATAATAATATATTGTCTAACCTTGAAAAGAGCCGTAAACGTTCAAACGATAGTTTATAACTTTTACATTGTTTCTCACCAGGTGTATACCTCAGTAACGCATTTTTTCTTTGCAATTTTAAATAGGAATTATTATTTGTTAATTGTGCAACAATTTTTAAATTATGAGAAAAAATGATAAATGATTTTTATCAAAAATTCGGTATTAAAAATTTAATGATTACTAAATAAATCTGGTGTCGTTTAAAGAGATGATTATAATTCGTACTTGGAATAATACTGAATCTATTATTAGGACGGAGTAGATGTGCCACCAAAAGAATGTAATTAAGTAAATGTTAATTATTTCCAAATTGCGGTTTGAGTACGCTTATGTTTCATAAAGTATATTTTCTAGAATGCGTTGAATGGAAGTTATTTTTATTGCACGTAGATGAAAACCCAGGAAAAGTGGGATAAAATATATTTTTAAGACTTGGTCGGTTCCGTGAAAAAGAATCAACGGGATTCACGGCGAGACGTGCCATGGCAAAAGCGCCGCAACCGATCATCGATGCGCAAATGGCTATAGGAGAACTAATAAATGCTAATGCAAACATCGATGGTGGGAGATTTCAATGAATAGTGGAGAAAGTAACCTTATCTAAGGTAAACCGGCGTGAGCTGCGGTCATTCTTCGTAGCCTCCGTGGTCAAGTTCAGTCTGCAAGGAGGATTCAACAGCTACAGTCTCGTGAAAATTTACGCACGGCATTCTTGAGAAGTGGAAGGAAGCGTCCGAATCGGATCTGTACAACGTTCGTCTGTTGGTTTTTTTTTCTTCTTACGTTTGATGTGAGGGTGTTTTGTTATTTTTATTTTGTGTGCGATCGCGGGTGCTTTTCGACGATTTGCCAACGGAAATGGGCCTGGGAAATTTAACATCGCCTACCAACTTCTCCCTGTTCATCGCCACGGAATTCAGGGAGGTCGCACAAGGAACCGATCCAGAATATGAACAATTTTTGGCGGACGTGTGGGTTGGCATCGTTCTAACCCTCATGGTCCTTAGCTGTGTCTGCTGCATGTGCTCTTGTCTACTTTACCATAAATTTCAACAATGGAAACGAAGCGGTTAGTATTTGCCAAAAAGTAATACTCATAGTTACATCAAACCATGTTAAACTGACATAGAAAATGATTGTGTCAATGTAATTCATAGAGATAAATTAACTTAATTACTTAGTGTTCACTAAGAATTAATTCTATCATCAATATTCACCTCAAAAATAGTCGACAACTGGTTATTAGTTTATTAAACGATTGTTCAAATGTCAGTAATTTACTTAAATATAAACAATTTGCAATTTGAAAATATCTAACTACTTTTTTAATTAAATTTATTTTGAAACAAGTATACTTTCAATGTATCTTTCACCATAAATAAACTAATAAATTATGCTCAAAACTGGTGACAATATCATATTGTAATATTTATTGTATTGATTATTTCAACTTAAAAAGTCCTTACATAAATTTGATTTATGTATTTTTGATGTCTAAACGTCAAAAATCAAATTTTTAAATATTAATTTGAAAAACATTACTATTACTTCTCAAAAATACTCAAAAAAAAATTACAAAATGTGAAGTAATTTTGTATTTTTTTTTTAAATGTAAATCGTAGAAAAAGAGAACGTTATTTTCATTAATTACACCTAATTTGCAAAGAAATGATATTTATTTTAAAACATGTGTGTGTACTTTCGATGTCAATAAATACAATAATTATAGCAACCTTCATAATTAATAGATTCCGAATACTTAACAATCATTAACAAGTTGTTCTAGAATAATATTAAAAACGATGATTCAAGTTTGCAAAAAAAATTGATAACAAAAATATATGTTTCACAAAACATAAATGAAGATAAGAATTCCGTATATTTTTTTGAAAATGAATAATAATATAATTAAATTTGGTTAAATTGAGTTAAAAGTGAAATGATCAAATAGTGGTTGTGCTTGGGATAAATTTGTGGTCTAGACGAAGTTATTGTTATTTTTAGCTACAAAGTTGAGATTTATCTGCATTACTTTTCATAAATACGTACAGCATGTTATAATTGCAGTCAAGGTTTTCTTCTTCTTTGTTAATTGAAGTTTGCGGATTGCACTGAGTGACTCGTGCAGTTTAAACAGGAATGACAGGTGTACGCAGACAAGCAACAAAATAAAAACATCTGGTTTCATGTCCCGAAGGGTCCATTTGTAGTCCGCATTTTCTTGCTATTCTTGGTGGAACCTTCGACGCTGTTTGTTAACCTTTCAGTGGACGCCTTTAAATGCTGCACACGATTTGTTCATTGTTCGAACAATCCGTATAAATTACTGATCGAATTATTGTCGACATGCATTTCACCGGAAACAATGATTATCATCATCACCATCAGGTATTTTCGATTTTCAGTGAATACAAACAAAATAAGCTAACAAAATAAATCAACTAATTGTTCACGCTCATTAAATCTCATCGTGATAGTTGTTGTTAAATTGAACAGTTTATAGATATGAAATAACAAGTTATTCGATTATGTTTGAATTCGTGATGATATGTATTAACATTTCAGGTTTCGATGTAATTTATGTATCTGCGTCTCTCTAGTTGATTAGTTTTTTTTTTAAATAACTTTAAATTAAAATGCGAAGCGCGTGATACGAATTCAATAATTTCCAGAAATTTTGAAGCGATATGCAATACTTGTTTTTGTTGTTTTTTTTAAATTATTTTCGTGCGAGGAATGCTTTAACGACGTTTTGTAAATAATTGCAGTGCGTATTTGTATTTGTACAAAGTGCCCTTGCGAAGCGTTGGAAAAAAACGACAACAACAAAAAGAAATACGAAAGAAAACAATTTTTAACGAGAATCACATGGTTATTGATTGACGTTGTTATAATTCTGTTGCAGTTATCGAGGCTCGGCAAGCAGCCGAAATGGAAGGAGGCTTTCATCCAGATTTGGACACGTTACCTAGTTATACGATAGCTTCGGGCCTTCCTAGCTACGAGGAGGCCCTGGAACAGCTGAAGAAAGTTAAGGAGATGACGAAACCGAGGAAGAGCAACAACGAAAATAACGGGGCCACCTCGGCGCCGCGTCTCAGTGTTCACAGGTTATCTGTCACCGAACTGTTCCAATTATACAGATCTAGATCGAATAGCATCACCTCTGTGAACAATGGTTGTACGAGCAACAAATCGCAACTGTAACAAGGTACATAGATTCAAGTAAAAAAAACTTCTTTTCTTAGTTTATACCTGAGTTAGAAGCGATAACTGTATTCAGTTTACTTCTTTATTCAGAGGGATTATATGTTTACTTGGTTGTACGATACAAGTATTTCTGTTTTTCTTCCAAGAATCCATAAGATTGTTTGTTTGTCTATATACATTATTTTTCAATGCTATTTTGAATAGATTTATTCCAAATGAGTGAATTTTTCTCAGAAGAAACATACTATTATTGTGGAATAATGCCAGCGCATCCCAGTCTATATTATTAGCAGGTGCAGTATTTAAAGAACTATCCAATCCATGATTTTCTCATACTAGATGAAATACTTTATTGCAACTATTTTTAACATATCTAACTTATATTCTGCATTAAAATTAGATTAGACAAGGATTTCATTATACTTTTAACCCAGATTTTTAGATAGATTTTAAATGAAAAACTACGCAAACTATAATATACATATGAAAATAGGTTAATTTTAGAACAATACAAATTTAATTAGTTTTTTTTTTTGTTAAAATATAAAATATTTAACTGTCTAAGAAACTAAAAGCTAATTTACTCATTACATAAATTTAAAAAAAAATATCAGTTTTGCAAAATATTGACTAAAAAATTAGGTTTTGCTACGAATTTGTGAGATATTTAAATTTGTTATTATCTGCTGATACAGTTTTTCAACTCGTACAATAAAAATTAAAATGTTTATAGATTTTAATAATTAAAAATTTTCTATTAAGAAAAGTTATCTTAAGTCAATAATAATTTAATAGTCAAATTGTGGTTGGTAACCTATTTATAAATAGATTCAGTTACCACAAGCGAAAGAATATTAATTTTCTAATTAACACAGCGCTACGATTAATATTCATAATTATTTTAATGTGATTATTGCTACGGATGAAGTAATATATATTGTTTTTATCGATTACATAATAGATGATCTATACAATCTAAATTGCAGATGAAGATTTGTTTTTTTTTTTCATTCACGAAAAATTAGACTTAGATAATATAATAAAGTATTGATAGTGTTGCTGATACTGAGGGTTTTTTTCTTTTAGGAAATTTCCATTGTTTGACACGAGTCGAACTGATTTACATCAAACAACAAACGTCTATTATTGAGTTATACAATTATCGCTGGTAATTAGAAAAGGCGTAAAACGGTTTCAGTGTCGCATGTAAATAAATGTGTTTTGCGTATACAGTTAAAACAGTATATACTAAACTAATGAAGAAATGTATGTGTTTAGTTTATTGCAACGGGATTGCCATCATGATTTCCGCACTATGTGACATCGGTCACGTCGCCAAAAAAAAAGAAGGTATTTCCAAATTGGCACTACCACATTTGGAATACTTTATTAGAATTCATGCTATAATAAGAACGAAAGCTGAAGTCACAGTACTGTTATTATTAGTAATCATTTGATTTTAAATATATTTTTGAATATTGGAAAAAAATACAGAAAAAACTATAAATTTTCTGAATGGAAAATTAAATAACATGTGTATTATAAAATAAAGTAGAAATGTAGAAATATTATAAAATTGCCAGATGTTTAAGGTCAATTAATTACAGGTATAAGAGTATTTGGTCAACTCAAATTTGAATAGAAAAATAGATCTAGTTTTGCGTTGGTGCAAAGTTGCGAAAAAAACGTACTACTACTACGATCATCAAATAACTGTAGAGTATAATAAAGCAAATTATAATTGCTTCCTTGTGATTCCAAGCGATAAAAAATAAACAATGAGTGAAATAGACGTATCAATGTATGTCTGAATAACAAGAGAGTCGAATAAAATAATAAAGTTGATGTATTATTTAAGAAAAGCATATATTTTTTGTTGAACGAATTATGTAGATTATTCTTTTGTTGGATGGAATTTCTGTACAGTCATAAGCACGGGATTTAATGATAGATACACGGTCGTATAGTATTTTAATTGATGGACTTTGTAATTTTGAAACAGCCGCATTACGTAATTCGCCGTCGGATTATTTATCGATTGATTTTTGCGATAAATTTATTTGAGATCCGATTCACGTGACTTGTTTGAAGATGGAACGGAATGCAGCCACAGCACACTACAGCTCCGATCGATAGTTGACCGCTAATTAATCGATACAATTAAATGCCATTACCGTTCGTTGCGTAACGAAAGACCGAACCACTTAGACGCAGCCGCCTTTTGGCATATCACTCTAAAATCTCCATGGCAACATGGAAATCAGATGTGATAATACGCTCATTGAACGACACTATGTCGTAGATTGTGTCTAGAGTTTTACGAAATGCAAATTAGTTTATGGATGTGACAACTTCGCAAATTTGAACCGAAAAATTTGTTCGCGAAACGAAAAAAAAAAATGAAATAAAACTGGTCTCAGAAAAGAATTTCAATAATTAACCACGTAAACAAATTAAGTTGAGTAAATTTGATCTTTTGTTTTATTTAAAAGAATGCATTAGCCAAGATCAATAAGTTTAAAGCGGGGAAAATTTTTGGCTAGACAACAAAACGCACGGTCTGTGTGAATGTTCAAAATGTTCCAAATTCCCGTTTCAATTTGCAACGTTTGTTTGTCTACCATTTATTTATCTAAATATTATCTTTGTCTGTTTCAGAATCGCATCTGAAAGCTAATATTTAGCTTTCCGGATTTCCGTCCAGAACCGGTACCATCGATTATTCCATTCATTCATTTATGCTGCGAAACGTGTCTGATTAGACGAGACGTGCGTTCGCTCTTCATTTGCGTACTTTTTAGTGTACTCGTGCAAATTAAGAAGAACGCTAATGATGACTTTTTTTCCTCTCGTTTTATGATTATTGTTATTATTATGTATTGTGAAAACTAATTCATACTGGCTGTGTTTAGTATAAGTATCTTAATTGAATTAAACGCTGGATCGTGACGCGTTTCAGTCACTTCGAAACGTCCGTTTGTGTATATTAAGTATTTTATATATGTGATAAATGTAACGTGTTTATTTTTCTTCTCGTTAGATGCTGGTCATCATAAGAAATTAGGTTAACTTTCTTGACTATACAACTATTTAAATTGTTTATAATTGTATATTATTTGTTTATAAGTAATTAAATGCATAACCTATAATTTATATCTACTTTATTTATTTATAATTATCATAATAAGCCAATATAATTAAGACATTTATTCAATATTAGTAATTTTTATCAAAGTAGTAAATATTGAGTCAAAATATCAAATTTGTTTTGTCATAAAAGAAGCGTTACCTTCATATTTATAACGATTGGCAAATTCAGTGTTTTATTAGTATATCTTCATTTTTTTACTATCCCAAAAAGTCCTTATGAATTCTACTAATTGATTCGTATGTTTACAATTATACATAGAATATCTTCTCATATACAATAGACTGTTGCCCATTATTTCAAATATACTTTTTTTTATAACATTTTATTGTCTCATTTATTCAATTTCTTCACGAACGATGTCCTTCATCTTTTCTTAATTGTGATTGGCTTCTATCCATGGACGTTTCCTTTTTAATGTCAACAGATTTGGACAATCATTCTATTTGTAATATTAGTATTACCACATATTCTTTAAACCAATTCAACATAACTCAGGCAGAAGACATTTTCGCACATCGCTCTCCAATTACAGCCACTTTCATATATATATATTTTTTATTATTTACAAAGCAATCTATCTACAAAAAAATAAAAAGAAAAACAGGTAAATGCTCTAGTTCTGGGCTTAATTATGAGAAAAATTAAAAATTCAAGAACACATACACGCAAACAAGTCTTATTGTCAATTTAGGCACTAACACTAACTATAAAAGCAAATATTCTCAGAATTTCAGATACTCAAAATTGACGAATTTCTTTCTTGACAGTTAAAATTTTCTCTTGTATTAGTCAAAATATTAATCGTGTTGATTCATTAAAACGATTTTATTTTTTATTAGCAAATTTAAAAGTATATATCATATTGTTATACTGTGTTCTTAGATTTGGAACAGATTTTTATGTGAATATTTGAATTGATATCCATGATGAACTTCTTCAGAATTTACTAAAAGGATGCGAAATCCTGACCATAAAATGTATAATTCTAATAACGTAACATCAAATTATCAATTAAATACATTTGTATTTGTAGTAGTAGTATTGCGATATAGAAATGCAAAAGTGCATGATGATACATAGATTGAATTCTAATCGATGTTCTCACGTTTCATGCCTTCAATTATATAATTCAATAATCAAAAGTACTTCCTATGCGTTTCAATTGACTTTCTTTTTAGAAAAAGCCGTGCATTGTAAAAACTATTTTGCATTAAATCAGTATGCAATCCAAAAATAGACATGTGTGTGGTAACATGAAATTAACATTAATTTTTGCACGATGTCTGCAGTCAAATCATGCGCTCAATTCTATTTGTCGCGACTACTAATTTAAATTGAAATTCACTGTCTTTTTGAATCTATAGATTTGTTGATGATCTTAATAGATCATCATTAATATCATTTATATAATTAATCATTAAACAGAAAATAAAAAATGTTATCAACGCTTTTATTGTTCTTTTTTTACCAATAATACTTAAAATATCAACTATTGTTCATGCCTGAGTATCAATAAAAAAATATATATTTTTGTGTTTAGAACAATTGAGTTTTTATAACAGTAATGTGCGTTTGTTTCGCATTCATTAAATTTTTCCACGTTGTGAAAATTATAACTTTTATCAGTAAATTCTATTTTGATTGAATCGCATATAGAATTGTTTAAATCTATAAAATATTGAATTGCCCAGACAATTTTACATGCAGTTTACCTTGATGGAACGTGGCAGTTTTTGTAAAGTGCGTATGCAAATTTTCCGCAAAAACTGTTCTTCCGTAAAAGTTGATGGCGCGCGCATACTGAAATGTATAAATAATTAAATAAATTTATAAGCAAATCATGTATATTTTACGAAGTATTAATTTACGTCTTCCATTTCCTATACCACCACTAACATCATCTATTAAAGCAAATCGCCGCCGTTGTACATAATGTTGTTATGTAAATGCTTCTGGTTTTTATGAAGTGTGTTGCATAATTCAAGTGTTTTATATGAAACAAACATTCTGCTCTATTTGTTGTGATCCATCCATCCATCCACGTGGACAAGTTTCATTGCATTTTAATTGCATACTCTACATCCTTCACATTTACTTCCTACGTCAAAACTGCAACCTATGAGTACTTACAAGTTTAATTCATACGACGTAGATATGAAAATTGAATTTCCGCATTATATTTGATACGGAAAATGTATTTAATTTGCAATAAACATAATGCTGAAGGTTTCTGAATAATAATACCCGCATAATTGGTTACCTTATCATGAAATGTATTCAAACAGTATTTATTTTTCATAAATATAAATTAATTCAGTTTAAATTGGGGCTGAATGATTTATAGTTAAACGGCGATCATATTTCAAATTGGTAATTTTCTTCTACAACAATCTGTTTCCTATAATATAGCAATCATCGATCATTGAGCAGTAGATCGATCCGGCACGTAAAGGTTACATAAATATATCAATTGTCATCTAAGGCGGTCACCTTGAAATCTTTAAAGGACACTTTTTATAAACAACTCTGTAACCTCAACGCACATTCATTTCGTTCTTCGCATTTCCCTCGCTCATAAGATATAAAAATCTGTATGAGTATACAGCAATAATAAGTAATATGTGTCTTCATTTCAACACGAAGTAATCTCCAAACGATGATAACATTAGCAGTTATTGTTTCTCCAATATTAATCATAGAACAAACGGCCTCGATGTAACTTTCATTGCGCTAACATTGGCTTTTCTCTAAAGCGTTATAAACGCAATTAGGTAATGTCAATTAAAAATGAAACCAAATGCGATTAGTTCTGAAATCGCACAAAACAGAAAAACAAATAGAATTTTTTCGTTTCGCAAATAAAATCGTTGTGATAGGTCCAGAATGCGGGCGATTACGTAATCCGAGCGAATATGAAAATAACAAATTGCATCGTTTCGCTACCGATTTACGTTGCGATATATTTTTGCTAATAACACGATAAATACGTACATACAGACATACATATAACAATACTGCTTTATTGACGTTGGGTTTTACGTTTTACTATTCATTTCCAGCAAATATTTTATGAACATTTAATGCTACTTGAGGTTGTTACGATTGTACATAAAAAGAGGTTTACTGATGTATCGATATATTTATAGGAGCGAATCGAAACGGTGTATTTATTAAACGACAAAAAAAAAACTATTTTAATAATATAAGTAAAGAGACTTCTTGAAAACATTTACTTTTCGAATTTGCGCAATATATTTTTTATTTTAATTGCGATCTGTGTTCAAGGTTTGCTCAACATAAGTTATATTCATAAAATAAATAGATAACTGAAAATTGTTTATAATATGTATTATATTTAATTAACTTACTTATATTTTAAATTTAGTTTGAAATGATGTTTTTTTAACTGTTAGCATTAATTTTATTTACGTTTAAAAAAAAAATAATGAAAGCATTAAAAATTTGTAATGTTTTAATTACAACTTTTATTCAAGGTTTGCATACGTTAAATTATGAAATAAAAGTAGTCTATTTGAACCAGAATGTAATTAAATTATTTGTCTGTTATTGAATTAATTTAATTAAACTAAAGAAAATTTAACAAGTTTAAGATTGTGCAGGTGCCTCGGTTGGTGGTTGGGCTTCACTCTCTGCAGGCTGCTCAGGTAAAGGAGATGTAGCTTTATCCTCGCTTTCTTCTACACCAGGCAATTCACTGATGGGCGATTCCTCGGCGGGAATTTCATGTTCCCTTGGTGATTCGCCTTCAGCACCTTCCACTGCAGGTGGCACTTCACCTTCAGCTCCTTCCACTGTTGTTGGAACTTCACCTTCCGGCAATTCAGTGGTCTCTTGACCATGTGATTCTTCCACACCTACCATGATAGGTTGAGAAGATGATTCTTCGACTTCATGTCTATCGGAGGTCTCAGATGTCCTTGACTTCTTCTTTTTCTTCTTAGGTTCCGGCGGCAGTTCCTCCTCAACGACTTCATCGTCCTGTACGTAATCTTCGGGAAAGAAGACTGCACATTCACGTTCTCCCTCTTCAACATTAGGACTTAAGTACGTTGGTCCAAGTTGTGCAAAAGCTAACATAGTGTCGCTATGTTTTTTCGACACTTTCAGTATCAATTTCTCGCCACTAAAAATAAAATGTAATTCTATAAGTGATTTTATAAGAGCATTAAATATTATACTCACTAAGTGATTTTAGGTGCAACCTTCTCAAATCTAGATTTAGATTTAGCAATCAACTTGGCATCGTCGCAATTCTCATCTGTGAAAAATCCAAATGCCATCACGTCGATGGGATGTTCATTGGCTAAGCTTAGAACTTCTTCTTTTTTGCATGCATCGAAAGCTACGACGATGTGAGGAGGGATTGGTTCCGGTTCTGGTAATATTAATGGCGCGGTGATCAAGGGGAAGAAATATTTCATGGCTGTAGCTTTGACCAATTCGTTGCCTGGAGCCCAGCAACCCCAGATGTCCTCCTGTTGCTCTTCCTCCTCCTCCTCATCATCATCAGGTATCAATCCGAATTGATGCATGGATTGCTGAATGTTTTCTATACCCAACACAGATAAAACAGCGTACTGTGCCTTTTCTTCTTCCGTCATTTCCTTTTCCTCGCTATCGACTTCTTCCAAAGTTTCATCAGATTCTAAATTCTTGATTTCCGGCTTCTTTGTTAGAATTGAAGCTGGAGTTTCAACATCACCAGGTGGTGTTTTGGAATCTCCGTAGACAAATTGCAGGACAGCATCATCTACCGGACCAGAGGCTCCACCATCATTTTGGGTCATCATGAGTGTCAAACATTTATCAGTGAACAGCTGTTTCCGTGAATACTCTGGTATCTTATGTTTTGCAAAGAACTCGATGTCTTCCATAGCCTCTTCGGTTAATGTAGGTCGTTCCTTTTTGCTGATTGCAATGTTGCTCTCTTTTAAGTAAGGATCCAAGATTTCTAGAGCACTCCTCGTCGCATGCGGCCAAATTAAAATCAAACCGACGTGAGCCATGGTGTCCAAAATATTCTTGGATTGAGCCATTCTATGTTCTGTTAATGTTTTGAATGCTTTCTCCTTAATTTTTTCTTCGCGCTTCCGAATTTTTTCATCTCTATCGAAGTAACGCTCTCTTTCCTCATCCGAATACTCTTCTGGACTTCTCTCCACTCGTTCCCTTTCTCCACTCATACATTCCTTTTCTTTCTTCAGCTCAGTCAAAATTGTCTTTTGAATTAAAGGAGCGTTTGATCCAAAAACCAATTGAACCATTTGTCGTTTCTTAAAGAAAAAAGCCTGTTCATTGTATATTCTATTAATTACTATAAATACTTACTGCAATGAACATCCAAGTAGGTTCGCTTTTATCAACGAATCTTTTTAGAGCTGTTATACCATCCGATTTCGCCTAAAATCCAAATATTTAAAGCATTATAACGATAAGTTTAATTGACCAACAATTCCAATATGCATGAAATCTCCTCCAATTTCCATTTTGATTTTCTTCAAGTTCGCGTGCATCGCATTGCACGATCCGCACCATTCCGAAAATATGTCAATCACTGATCAATTGTTAATATAATTCTAAACACAAATCACAAAATATTTACCCAATAAGCCTTCTCTATCCAAAAACTTTTCCCATTCCTCGTCGTTATTCAATTCTGTTTGGATTTGAACGACCTGCCCTTTCTTTGCCATGTCTGCCAATTGATTGATTAAATAGTTGCCATGGTTGAATCGATCAAACGCACCCTTTTAAATAACAAGATTGTCGCTACGGTTCAAAATATCGAACCCCTTGCATTTATCCGACTCTCCCATCATCAGCAACAAAACCCCATCCAAATAATTGCACATCTCCAAATCCTCTCTAAATTCAACGCATTCACGAATCAACTTCATAACTTTGATTTCTTCAAACTGAGACACGAATCGATCATAAAATAAAAGTTGATAATTTATTTCATCCTTACCTTGAAGCTTTCTCTCAAATCATTTATGATTTTTTTCATGTTTACGAAGTATAAGTAATTAGCATCTCCATTCCTATACAAACTCCGAACACTATCTTCTATATCGCTCTGACATAAAACCATATCAGTTTTCGGCTGGAAATCGATAAATTCGTGTAAACACTCCGCTCCTATGATGGAACCAGCCTTCGGCTCGGAACAGTTTGTGAATATCACCATACATTTTACGCTAATCGCACTCTCAATTTTAATATTCAGCATATCAACAGTACCGAATGACCATCCAAAAATCGTTTCGTTTTGTTTTTTGCGAATAGTTCCATCCGCGTTGTAGAAAATCATCTAAAATACATGCACACAGCTTGCACAAACAAATAATTTGTTTTATATGTAATACTTACTGTGTTTATGAATGCTTTTAAGCGTATATTGAACCTATTAAAAAGATTTACCGAGTTTTTGTAGACTGTAACCATGTAGGACTTCCACTCACGTTTCATGAATATTTGAAGCACTATCGGATTACATTCCGGCGTCATTTTGTATGATAAACTTTATCATTTGTTTGCATTTTCTGTAAGCGCTTAATCAATTTGATCTTAATATTAGTATTAACAGAACCAAATTACATATAAAACAATATTGAATCGAATAATTTATAATAAAATATAAAAAAAATAGTGTGAAACATTTTGTTAAAATATTTATTGTATATAGAAAATTCCATCAATAAAAAAACTTTGTCAAGAGTTTTCTTCTATTTGTGAAATAAATGTTAATTATATTGAACATATTTTTTTAAATTTTGTTCATAAACTGTTTCTAAATAGTCAGTAAATGCATCTTTTAATATATTTAGAACATGGAAAGTTTTTACAAAAATTATTGAATTTTATTTTTAGAAATGTTAATGATTACATTAGGAAAAGTATTAATAATATATTGCCCTCTATATTCCAGTAAATTAAATAAAGATGATAATATCAATTACAAGGTAATCTTTATCTCTAAAATCGATAAAACAATTCCCTGTAAATTTAAAGGTGTATACTTTAATTACATTATACTTACCTGTTAAATTCCTAAGAGATATGAGAATGCTGAAGAAGCTTTTTGATGTATTCAGAATCTTTGATCTTTGAAAACGAATTTAGGTAAGAACAAAACATGTATTTCAGGTGCGGTTTTCGATACAGAAATCTACAATTAATCTGCCTTCTTTATCAGCGTCATAACTACACTTAAATAAAGTACACCTAATCAATAATCACCTGGTGGTGGTCTCGGTCTACCAATCGATAAGTTCTAATTAGAAATAAGGTATTCGAGACCCCATATAGGTGCGATGTTTTTTGGTCCTTATCAAAAAATCGCATTGCATTTTTTGCCTAATTTTTCATTATCAGTGCACAATGGCATTGATAAATGGATTTGTATGAATCAATTAATTGCCTAATACGAAATTATGAAAGCGTGCGTGCAACGAGGATGTACGCTAAATTAGCAACATATTTATTGATTGAATTATGGCAAAACAAATTAAATCAGTTTTTGCTTAGGTTTAGTGCGTTTCCAAAACCGAACGTACCGTAGCTACAACTCTGGATGAAGTAGAGATCTTCGATTGACGAATTGCAGAAGTTGTAGCTCTGACCATTCGGATACGTGACGTAACTGAATCCGCTTCTTGTATCGCTGTTCTCAAAGACGATGTCGAGCACGTCGCATTTCAGCGTGTCCACGTACTTTCTGATGTATTCTCTGTAATACGAAGTACCTTCATCTGCATTCGCAGTAGATTCTTTGGTAGATCCTGTTGACTCTGTTGCAGGCAAACTAATCTATAAACATTCATTGATTTTTGTTTTCTTTGACAAGGGGTACAAAATTAAAGCAGTTTTCATTTATTCTTGTTATCAGCTAAATAATATATGTATAGTATATATTCATATTAATTAAACGATATCACTTTGATATGGTTATAACACATCATAAAAGGAATGGAAAATACATACACTTCGACCATAAATATTGATCTCAAATGCACTGTTTATATATATATATACCGCTATTACTGTATGGTTCTCATCTAATATCTCAAATAATTCTAATACAACATACAATATATTTCATATATATATAATATATTTATAATATGGGATTCTTAACTTGAATATATTTGTACAATATAATCTGGTGTTGTTCTTTTTATAATTTAATTATAATTATTATTTCCTAATAAACTAATAACCACGATCACAATCAATATAATAAAGATATAAATTATGGACCACATTTAGCTATATATATATTTTTTTAAATACATACTTTTGTTGTATTTTCCCATTAATAATAATTCTATAATTCTTTGGTCTTATATATTCTTAATAAATATCTTTTGAAGATTCATCTCCCATTCGAAAAGTTAAAAACGACGTGCGATCGATAAAATTCATTTGATTTTACTCCTGTTTTTCTTGTTTGAAGACTAAAGGAAGATTTAGAATATACCGCTATTCTCAATTATTTGTTATTCATCTCTGGGAAGCATAATGTTCATTGATACAATTTAATATATATATATTTACAATTTTTTTTAAACTAATATTCGAACGAAACGATATATTGGGAAGCTCTATATCTTTAAAATGTACAACACACACAATCAATTCAACATCATTTAGTTGTTTCTTTCTTTCTTTTGGATAAATTTTGAGATCTACTAAGGCACAACCTTACACATTAATATTAAGATACATCCTGTATACAAATTACTATACAACAAATCATAAATTCCATAAATTAAACAGCGTTTCTAATCGAAAGTCAATGTCAAATAAACGCCGTTCAACGAACACAAGTATACAAATAAATATATATTCATATTTTTTTTTTTTAAAGATAATTTTTGGTCCCAAATAATATGCTCAGATTTGTAACTAATTAATCAACGTAATAACAACAATACAAATAAAACACACTTTTTTTTTAGTTCTCTTTCAAACAGTCCTTTTTTCGAAGGCACAATTTCAATTTTGTAAATTAATATAAACAAATAGACATGCGACTCTCAAATTTAACAATAAAATCAATACATTTTTTTTTGTGTGTTTTCGCTCCATTTGTATTGATGTATATAATATATGTATATATATATATCAATATCGCACTAAAAAAATTACATTTTGATTTCATTCTTTGGCATTATTTCATTTCCTTACTATTTAATTAAGATATTTCATAATATATAGTTATCTACATTTTTTCTTTAATTTAATTTGTTCATTTTCTCGTTTAAATTCAATTTTTCAAATCTTGGCCTACATTAATATATATTTTTTTTTTGTATAAATGTACATGTATACACATGTGTATATATAATCATTTGGGCTAACTAATTGACGGTATCGTCAAGAATTACCTAACTAACTAACTGCTTATATATGGTAATCATCGAATTTGAGATCATTGTTTGTTATAAAGAAGTCTAAATATCCTTGTTTGGGAGGAAGCCGTGGATCGGGAGGACTTTGGAAGCGCCCCCGTTCCGTCGAACCGAAAGCTTCGTTGAAATCTGGTAAAGACTTCTGGGGTTTCGCAATATTATTCGGTGAATGCTATGTTGAACGAAAATCAATAGTTTAATCCTCAGAAATGCGTCAGATGCGTTGGTTAATATGGTTATAGGAAATATCGCTACTTTGAATAATTACCTTTTTGACTTTCTCTTGGTTTTTGTCGAAATGGCTGTGAGCGGACACGTTATCCTGGTACAAGTTCATGAACGGTGCCTGCGAGACATTCGTGGACTCCATGAGAGGTTCTATTTTACCTTCAAAGTTATTGTGATTTGGCGGCACGTTTTCGTTTGTATGTGGAGATGTTGCTGTACTACTGAGCTCTGCAAAAGTTTCAGGTCCGATCTTGACTCTCTCTATTGAAGATGAAGCTTCGTTCGTCTGATGCATCTCTGTTGCCTGTTGATGATGGTAATTCGGCATCTGGGAATTTGGCATCACATATTCTGCAAATTGAAGAAGTGAGATTTTCAGTGAAAATACATTTTTGTTGTTGTTGTTATTATACCAGAAGGAGTTGGTCGCATGGTATTCGTACTGTGCTGATATTGGTTCCACATATCCGTCTGATGTTGCAGCTGAGCCATCGGGTTAGGCTGTGTACAAAACAAATGCAACAAATACGAATCAATCGTGAGGTCAAATTATGATTTGTCGTTCAATTACCTGCAAATAGCCGTTGTTATCATGTGAAATTAAATGCATGTGTTTGTTGTAGGAATGCATTGGTTGAATAAATTGTCCGTTTCCTACATTTCCGATGGGGAAGCCGGTTCCGCACATTGGTGATCCAACTACACCACGCATGCCATGGCTGGGCGTCTGCAAAATAAATTCACGTCAATAAATTGGCACCCCCCTCGTAGTCTGCCAGCAAAACATTGTGAACGAAAATAACGATCCGCTACCTAAATATCTCTTTCTGCCTTATCTTAACCAAATAGATTTCAATGGAATTGATGAACACGGTGAGGTGGAGGGGAGGAGAAGGAGGATGATGATGGGGGATAGACAGGAAAGGAGAAATAACAAAAATATTTAATTGATTAATACAATTGAAGTATCCCGATTCATCGGTTAAAGAGCGAGAGAAAGGGAGGGAAGGTCTGCGGCGAAATGAAGTTCTTCACGCTTGACATCTGATAGGAAATGATCAATCAATTTATGTCCCTCCGTTCTAAATATATATATATTTATACTTTCAGTTATGTCAACAAACAGGGAAAGGGATAGCAATCTCGAATTTCACATGTTATTTGCATTTCCTCCACCCAATAAAATGGTTCCAATTTGAATTTCCCAAATTAATAGTAAATAAAATATTTCAAACAAACAACATACATTTTGCTTTATAGAAAATCCAAATTTAATTTGAAATAGTATTGATTATAAAATATATATCCAATTCAATTACATTTATAATAAATCTACTTTTTAACTGAACATGGATTGTTCTATTTCATTTCAAATAATGTATTTTCAAATGAAATAGAACGAAGGTATCCTTAAAATAAATAACTCTTACAAATTTTAATTTCAATATTAAATATTTGATAAAAAATATTTTGGAAATCGTGGTGAAAATTAATGAGTCAATAAAAACTTGAGTCTGCGGTTATATTAGAAGTGTTAAATACTATACAAATAAGTTTTTGTATGCTAATTGATAACATGGATCAATTGTAGTGGAACTAATCTGAACCATAGTTGTTAGAAGAAATACAGGTATTAGTATAATATAACTGCAGTATAAGACTTTAAACCCACAACACTATTGCGCTTAAATAACATACGGAAATTGGGAATTACATTTACAATTTTCTCAATAGTAAAATATTAAAGAAATCTATAGTATTAACGTATTATTTTTTAAATGCAGGTTCTGTGAATGTGAAAAGCGCAAACTTTAAGATTGAAGTTCAATCTAAAAAATATTCGTTAGTGTAAAATATTACTTATTTCTATATGATTTTGTCATGGATCATGTCCTGCTTTTTTTATTAGTTTCATAATGTAAAATGATACTTATTAATGTATATAAATTCGCAACTAAAAGTCCCAAATTGAAAATGTTTTCATAAATAAGCCTGCAGGATAATAAATAGTATGCATAACGGGCGCTAGGAATGAATGGCAACAATTTCCATTCAGTCCAATTGCGAATTGTATTAGATACAATATGCAGTTAATGAATTTTATTTGCAAAGACATTTGAGCTTTTTGTCGGTGTACGTTTTGAATGCGTATAGAAAGCCTCCGCGCAACGTACTGACCTATCTTAATTTTATGGATCGCAAACTTGAGGAGGGTGCAGACTACAATCCGATGACTGCCGCACGCCGCCCTCTCTACATGCCATCGCTTCTTACTTAATACACTCCTAAAATTCCATCCATGATTAATGGATTTCTGAACAAGTTCGCAAACGAACATCTTCATTAATTGCATACGTTAAATATAGATATTTCAGTTAAGCTGAATTATTTAAACAAACACAAGAAATTATCTATTTTTCAGATTATTAAGTTAGAATTATATTAATCATTCAATTTATAATCATGTAACAATATTGAAGAACATATGAAATATGAAACATTCGTATAAACTAACTACATATTTATATACTACTTCAGTATATAAGCTTAAGATATTAAAAAGTAGCGTGGTAAAAATTGTTTGTATAATACTTTTGTATTACCTTGAATTGCTAGATTTAGTTATTTGTTAATATTATATAGTAAATTATGATGACAATTTTCAACAATTTTTTTTTCATAAATGAAGTCATGTTTGAAATTCCACATTCAACACATAGTAGCCTTGAACAGTTAATTTAGTAATTAATTAATAATTAAAATTAATATATTATTTGTATTTATGTTTATAATATACAAGAGTTTTATAATAATAATCAGACAAAATTCCAACATTTTTTAAACTAATTAAGAAATAAAATATCTTAGTAATGTATAAAAAATATATTGATTCGTATTTTTAAGAGCAAAACTTTGGTATATTGTTAGAGAATATTTGAGCAAGTGTAAAGAGGAAAGTTTTTGCTAATGATGGGGGGTAGTAAGTCGAAAGAGCGGCGAAAATAACCTATTGATCAGTAGGTGCAAATAGCGGCACCCACGGAGTTGCATTTCGAGGCGTCGGGATTCGGCGTTGGCATCGGCGTCGACGACGTCGTAGTCGTCTATCGCAACATCGCGCACACAGCATAATGCAAATGCGGATGGCAAAGGGCGGGAGGGCGTCTGTCCTTAGTGGGTCGTATCGATGGTAGTATCGGCTCCGGCGCGAAGGCGAGCACACCGAAAAGCGCGCCGAGCCGCATATCGACGGCAGGACCACGGGCGCCGCGACGCCGTCGCCTTGGCAACCGGCGTCGACCATCTCAGTTACTAGGCGACGCATCATCGGATATCGATGCCCAGCGCGCGCGATTTTGCGAGGGAATTTCACGTTCTAGACATATACAGGAGGCGGCAACGACGTCGGTGGCGGTGGGGACGACTACGAATTTGCTTGTGGCGGCAACCAGTCGACGTCTAGATAAGGAAGCCCCACCGCACCGCAGCTGCTGCTGGCCAATATATTGATTGCAACCCTACAATACGCTTACTGTCATGCACATATAGCTACGGTTTCAAAAAAAAAATACATATATACATGTAGCAAGGAGAAAATCCATCACGCGTGCACCCAGCAAAACGGCTTAGCTTTATCCGATTAACACCGCCCCCTTTCTTCCAAATATCTAATATACAAACTCCACCGATATACAAGAAGCTCGTCAATACGTCAATACTTGAAGCATAACAGCATTATTTTTAAGACTTAATTCAATAAAAAATCCAAAGATATTTAACAAATTATCACCATAACAATACAACTCAATTCAAAATTACATTTATTGTATATTGGAAAATACGAATTGTTGTTTCTATATATTCAATGATTGTTATAACAACATGTATTGATTTTTTTTTAGTTTTGTATGATTAGTAACATTACATTATTATTAAGAATAATAAAAATAATTCGAAATTTTGTTATTAGTAATATAATGTTTTATATATGTTTAAATAAAGTTAGTAGAATTAGTTGTTATATGTTACAATTTCTTGCATGAAAATATTTGTTCAAGAATTTTTAATTTTTAAAAAAATTAAAAAGTTATTTTTTGTACAAAAATTCATACAGTAAAATGAAATTCATACTTGTAAAGGTTCATAATAAAACAGTCAGCATATTTGAAAAAGTTACTTCAGAGTGTTTTACATGGCTGAAAGTTTTTTCGTTGCTTCCTCTTTGAATGAAAATATATATTCAAGACGTCTGGGTATAAACTTTCTTTTACTGTTGCGGGATTAACTCGGAGCCTTCCAATTGAACAGGAAAGCAGTTCCCGTTATTCCTTTAGTGCACTTCCAGCACTCTTCCTTGGAAGAGATTCAGTATTGGGTATACAATAAAAACTTATATAGTTTTCGAATACAAGAAAATTTGCAATATATAATTAGAAACAATTGTAATAAAATGTTTAGGCAAAAACTTTCCAAATATACATAGGGGCTAAATTGAAAACGCAATTTGCAATTCATAATTTCTAACAATTACGAAATAAGTTTCTTTTCGGGCATCTGCAACTAAATCTTTTGAGGCGTGACAATCCACTGACAAATTGAAAGTTTATTTAATTTGCTCCTCGTAATCAAAATTTAGTGGTTCTAAATTTGCGAAATGCACGTTGCAGTTAATCATTGTCACCTTCGGCACACTTTCTAAATAGAACACGAAAATGTGTAAACGCAGCAGTCCAATTACCAGCGTTTTCGCTGCGAGGTATTCCTACCTCAAAGCTTTAAGCAGTCACCTACTTTTGTTTAGTCAAAAGTCAGTGCGAAAATCACGCGTAATAATAACATTTTACGTATTTTGACGAACAGCAGTATTTTGCAAATTACTTTTCATTTATTAAACCAACAAATAATATGATTTGTATATTTAAAATCTTTTTTTTTAATAATGGGCGGAAAGACATACGGTTTCAATGATTCATGTGTTTTTTCAAATGTTATTGGATTGTCATTGTTTATGCAATTTTGTCATTGTTGTATTTTTTTTTAAATAATATTTTTTAATACTTCTTTGAAATTTGTTAATTTGATTGATTAAATCAAGTAATTTTCAAAAAAATGGCAAATTTTGTTAAGTTCATTGAAGTTTTGGAAATGTATATACTGCGAAAGAAAGTATCGACTTTCATTTCAATTCAAACAAACAACATGTGGGCTTTGGTATATAGAACATATAAATTAGAAGAATATGAAAAACTTTCATTATATGTTTTTATCAAAGTTATCAACTGAAAATTTGTGAAGGCAAGTATTTTAGATTTAACACTCTGACGGTGCGCTTACCATCATGAAATGATCATCAGTTTCAGGATGCACCCAGGGCTGCGAGCGACGCCCACCTCTGGTAGCGGGTGCGACACCCATGGCCCTTTCCCTATTGGCGTCGCGCATGGCCTTGCGGATCCTCGCCTCCTTCGGGTTGTATGTGTAGTCTGGAAAGAGGAAACTTGGTTACACCCACCTAATATTTACATTCAAAAAGCTTGGATTGTACGCTATGTTATTTTTCAAAAAATGAAAACTATTAGTCTAGTTAGTATACGAATTACTCTCCAAAACAACTGCAGGGTCATGGTATTAACTGAGAAAAAGATACATGCAAAAATAAATTGAGAAAAACGAGAAGCTCATTAAGATAATTAATTGGTTTCGGGATCGATTGTTTAGCAAGGTCGGAAAACGGTGCCGGTTATCACCCGAATCAATTACATCAATACCAATCCACACGCAATCCTTACAGGAATCCATATGACTATTGCTTATGTAATTTAATTTAGTTAATCACAACGAGGAAGTATGTTCGATTAATGCAATTACAGTTCAAAATGCACGCCTCGTGTCAAGATGAGAAAAATATAAGTATGAAAAGTTTGTTCGAAGTTTTGCAGTAAGTTTTAAATGTATTTTTTTAACTACAACAAAATAAAACTTTGATCGGTGCTCTCGTACCTGGAAATGAAGCGGTATTGCAATGCTGCCAAGGATATGACGAATAGTAGGGGGTGTTGTTCCCGTAGTACTCAGAGTAAGTTGGGTTGTTGTAGTATTCGCCATGGTACTGCGGCATTTGTTCGAAATATTGCTGAGTACCATAGTAGTGGTTCTTGTACGACATGTAGTTGCAGCAATCCATCGCGGAGCACTGGGATCTCTTCGGTCCAGCTTTTATAATTAGTCGAAGGAGAGTTGATGATTTTCGTGGCGAAAAGCACGTGAATCAACGAAAGTTCCCAGGGCCCCGTTCGTATGGAAGTTGCAAGTTGTTAGTTAAACGGCGACAGTAAAGTTACTAGTGTCGCGCGTGTTGGCACACCACCAGCACAGGAAACGGAATTGGCACTGATTGTATGTAAAGAGTGTTATCGTTATCTTAGAAATTTTAGTTAACGCGAGTGTGGATGCATTATGCCGACTACTCTTAGGCAGGCAGCGCGCGGAACTCGAGTGGCGACTGGGAAATTTTCGCGCCAAACGTTGGAGGCGGTTTGTAAGAGAGTGTGTTAAAGTGTGTGCCAGTGTTTGGGGGCTGTATAAGTGTGAGTGTGTGCGAGTGTGTGTGTTGGATGCGAGAGCGCAGCGCGACGCCGATAGCCGCCGCCACCGCCGTCGACTGAACGCGGCCTCCCGTGATCAATACGTGGGGGCCTCACCTACCGGCGGCGGAGCGCGTTTGAGTCTGCAATGCCCGGACAAGTGGGTCAGAGTCCGCCACACGACCCACGCAAATGTCAGCTGTTTTTGCCATCTCTGTCCGCCACCACAATACATTGATATGATACGCATATACAGAATTCATATCTTCTAAACCTCCCAATTATACCAGAAATCCGAACCATCAAAGATACTCTACAGTAGAAAACATCACCAAAACTATACCCAACAGTCCGACCCATCAATATTGCTTCAAGTAGACATTGACCACTAAAATTCACACCACAAAAACTATACTAAATACTAACTATATATTTCTGTCTTTAATATAAAATATTAAAAGTAATTTTGTATAGGTTTTACGTATGAAAATAAATTATAATAATCTAAAGGTATTGATGATCCAGATCATACATACAAAGTTATAGTGACTAAATAAGTATAGCAAATAAAATATTCGTACGCACGTATATGTTATATAACGATTTTTGATATTGATACTGAATGCACAACACTCGAGAGTCACTAGATCAGCCAATGTGAAAGACGATGCGCAGACAGTTGATAAAGATTTTACATGAGACAAAAGTCTTCAGATTGATTTTTTAAATTATGCTGACACATAAATAATTCTGTAAACTTTCAAATATAATCAATATTTCCATCAATACAATTAAAACATCATTTTCTACCAATTATTTCAAAAAACTGTTTCTGTTATTCAAAATTGCAAACCCTACAACTAACATTCTACAATTAAAAAATATTAATTATATAAGTTCTTTTTATAAATCTGTAAATATATAGAAAATAGACAAGAAAACAATCCAACTTCAATACAAAAATAGGTATTATATTATTGTAGATTTTAATTGTATTTATTAATTAAACTCAATAAAAAATGTTAAAATATTCAGGTTAAAAGTATGTCTTATCTAAAAAGAAAACACGAACAAACAAAATTATTTCATAAGTATATGGTGTAAAACACGCTGTGTATACAAATAGTAATTGCATTAACATGTACATAATTGCTTTAATTAAATGCGTATTGTAAGTTCAATGAGGAGCTAATTTGAATTTTGGGATAATTGCAGGCAACAACTTTGTGTTGGTAATTAGTGAGAATGTTATACATAGGGAACATAGTTGTCAACAACTTGTTAAACAGGGCAAAGGGACGTGTAATTCATGTCACTCCGTCCAATCGCAAAGGGTCATTAAGATCATAAACATCCGTGCGTTGGGATGAAGCCGAACATTTTAAATAAATTACACGCAGACATATCGCTATTTAAATGCTCATTGCCTTACTTCGTCAACTATTTACTTGCAATTAAACATAAGTTATTATATAATTTATAAAGTTTGTAATTTCATAATCAAATTATTCGATTCAAAGTGTTATTTATAAGAGTAGAAATATCTGTCTAAGTACCGCTCTAGATTTATTTTCAAAGTGGCTATCAACCTTATTATTATAACAAATCTATAAGAAAAATGTTGTATAATATATTCATAGACAAATAAAAATATATAATAGATTTACATTTTTGTGAATTATTACTTATTACTTTTTTTATTTAAAATTTAAATATATTTATTATGTAATATAAGAACCTATCAAGATAATAAATAATGTATATTAATAATAATCTAAATTATAACATATAACAAATGTAGATATTCTAAAATAAGAGAAATTTAAAACATTCAAATAGTTAACAAATTAATGACACTCATCATATCAATATTTTGTTGTTATATTTTGATTTGTATAATACAATTATTGAAAGTAAAGTTTAAATCAGAATTTGGAAGTATTACAAATCTACATATTTATTGTGCAATCAATTGTTAAACACTAATATAAGTTTTTGAACATTTTTTATAAAATTTGAACAATTGTAACGATTTAAAAGATTTGATATAAGATATAAAAACTAAATTTGCAGTTTCGCAAATAAAATGTTTATATATTGACAGAATAAAAATCATGCTTGATCAAAGGGGAAATAAATATGCGGGCTTTAAAGAAAGCGAATAAAAGCTCTCTGAATGGGAATATTAAATAGGAGACGTTTACGCCATCATATAATTTGATGGAAAGCGGTTAATGGCATTCCAATTCAACAAGTGCCTGAACTGTGGGTAATATAGCTATAATTTTATGATGAGTAGTATGGGGGTGGTGTGCAGGAGCAAAACTTTGTGTATCGCTTCCAATGCGATCTAATATAATTCAACGAGCAACACGTAGTTGCCGTTTCCATTCTGAATCCGAATGCCCCGAACTTTGCGGCGCGCATAGTTCAGTTCGTGAATGGAGAGAGCGAGTTTACACATATAGAGAAGAGAGGAGGATCGTCCCATGTTTGCAGGATGGGTGCGTTGTCTGATTAAACCGAACTGTTCCAGCGATTGCAGACAACCCATCGGCAGCAGGATGGGATTAGGCTACGTCGAAGGCAACGGCAGGACGACGAGAGTCCTCGTCCTCTCGATCTATTGACGAGTGCCGCGGCGCGCACTCGATCCGTCAGGCTTTGGGGGGCCGAATGAAAGCCGCTGCAGAACCCACCGATCGGTCTGTCGGTCGATTTACCGACACCCACACATGCTCCGTTGCGCGAATTCAAACTACACCGCATCAATATACCCATATTACACCAAAACGAAAACCCTGACAAACGTCTCTTAAACTCTCCTGAACTTCATACTATGTCCGACACGTTTATTGTCGGGTGAATTCCTATCAATAGGTGTCAACCGCACAAAATATTAGCAACCAATCAAAATATCTGACACATTTTGAAAGCATTTCATATTTTATAGTTTTTGGTAGAACAATTGACGTGATTTATCAATTTATTATAAAATAACTCGAAAATTCACATATCAATAACCATTGATACAATTTTTTTAATGTCTATTTTAATCCTTCGTTAGCTATAAAATTATATTATTTTTATTCAAACAATGAATTACATTTTTCAAAATAAATGCGTTTTGTAGTAAATATAAGATCTAAACACAATAACATTCAAAACTTACAAATATGTTAAAATAATTATAAAAAGAATTCTGGAAATTTTGTTTATAAAATTATCTTTTAAGGAGATCATATTTTTCTGCTATGCTATGCTTCATATTGTACATGACATTATTTAAAATTAATCATGGATGATCAGTATATAGGCTAATCCGGATCAACCCTAAATATACCATTACATTATAATTGCATGATTGATCCAGATTATTATTTAACACATTGTTTCTCTATGAAATTAATTGGATTAAAGTTGATTCCAATGCATTAGCATAAATAATAAGACTATCATTAGTTACTTCATGAACAACAATGTTAAGGATGTAAAAAACTACAAAAATGTTCAACTTCGAACTATGTCTAAATACATAATAATTTAATTTAAAGAGATCATAATTGCAATTTCAATATCATAATTGCAATCTTCATTTAAACATCAACCTACTATGTAACTTTATAATTCAAACGAACAACATAAAATAGACATAAACGTTTATGCAAAGACGAATGTTGCTCATAGATGATCAGTATTTCGATTAATCCGGATCAACCACATACACAATTCTATTACATGTACATTTCCGTATTACAGCTTTGCTCGACAATAAATCCGGTTTAAGTCCATTAATAATGGGTCCATAACTCTGTTAAAATAGGAATCGTAAATATTCGCATAAAAGACATAAATGGTTTCGATTACATAAAAGAAGTTATCAATATTTTAAATAAATTAATTATACTAATATTTTAAAAGTTTAATAAAATTGATCTGCTTCATAACTGTGACTATAAATCTTTTGAGAAGTAATAGTTCACTATGTATTTAATTACATAATACATTTAAAGAATTATTGATTATATTACTTTGTTATGTTTAATGCCAATTAGGAAAAGTGAATAAAATATTTTTTTTCTATCAAAATTAAGGTACAACATTTCATGTTTAATTTAATATTTTACATTAAACATTAATCACTGGTGATCAGACTAATCCGGATCAACTATACTACACTGTTACATTGTAATTGCATGATTGATCCGGATTATTATTTAATGGGAATTAACATTCGAAAATATTGTCGTAATTAATTGCTATTTTGTAATTGTTCAAATTACTAATATTATTACATTAATTTTTTTAGAAAATAGTTAAATAATAAATATTTAATGAAATTAGTAAAATTTGAATCGATTGCAGCTCGATATATATATATATAATATATATAATTGTTTTGTATATGTGAGTTTTAAATTAGTTTCAAAAGTTGATTACACCAGTATTGTTTGTTCCATAAAATAAAAGTTTTGAATTACTAGGAAATATTAATATTCGCGATGCACAGCAATTAAAAGTATACTTTTGAAAGGGCGTATTTAAACCACGTGTAAAATGAAGTATTGAATAAGGATTTCTGCTGCCGCATAAAATTCTAGTACTTCGTCCACGGACTTGACGACTCGCCCGACGCCGCAAGGCTTCAATTGATTTACATCAATTCGCAAGGAGCCTTTCAGTCGAACACGTAGCAGACCCTAATGATTATAGGGAGGAAGACCTAATTTACACAATTCTTCTAAACTTGAATGGGAACCAAATCTCAATCAACCCCTCCGAATGTTAAATTGGTTCTCAAATAATTAAATTGTCCTGTATTTTTCCAACGATTCGCAGATGTAATTAGCCCTGCCGCATTAAACGTAGGTTTATTCGAAACATTTTCAAAAGAGCGCCTTATCGATTGGACAGTGTTAACCGCGTGGGCGCAAGTTCGAATCCGAAGAGGCCATACACACTCACTCACACACCGACCGTGTACAATCGATAAACACTGAATATCTACATAAATTCCATGCAATATGTTTTTATGTAACAAAATTATTACGTGGGGCGGAAGCGATGCGGTAATTTGGGTGCGCGTCGGACGGACGTAGAGGGGATGGTAGAAAATGTTCAATTTTACAAACCGGGATATTTGATTTTGTGCTCGGCGTCCACTTTCTTCGCCATCGCATAATAAAAACTTTTTCGCTCCTGATCCAATTCCTTCCAACCTCTACCCAATCGCTTGCTAATTTCCTTATTTGAGTCCAGAGGAAACGCTCTTGCCATTTTCTTCCTATTCTCGTTCGCGTAAAGCATGAAAGCGTTCGCAGGACGTGGTATCTTCGGTTGAGAAGTCTGTAACTCTACATGCACCTGCTCTATAATCAAACAAAACCCCAAATTCTTAACACACAACAGTTACAAACGCGAAACTCTCGACAATCTAATTAATCTAATAGAACAAGATCGTCAGCTTCACAATATTGAGCGATCAATTATTTACGCAGGAAATCGATTGTAGTGAGAACCGTTCAACTTACTAGGCAAAATCTCGCAAGTAAATTCCATTGTTTCGTCAATTATTCGATCAAATTTTTGTGCTCGCCGATTTTGATTGTCAGCAATATTGTTTATTTGAATATTTATATAACCAGGCAACGGGGGTGCTTTTGTGCCTGTCATTTTTCATAGGCATCATAAATTAAATCGTAATTTTATTTGTTTCAATACTCGTTGCAAACGATGCAGCCAGCACATACATTCTGCAAAACGCACGTGGACGAAATCCATACTATGCATCCGACAGGGTGGCATTTGTTCGGTCGCGTTACCTAATGCCCATTCAATTCAGTTACGCAACAATTTGCAAGACGTCAATGCGCGGCTAATACGGCAATCGCACACCGTTGAAGTGACAAATTGCAATTGCTTCGTACACACATTTAATTTCTACAATAAGCGGATCAATCGCAATATCGTAACAATTAGTAAAAACATGTTTACAAAAATGCGCGTGATTCATTGTGTCACAAGATTGAAAATATGCAGTTTTGTTTTTTTTAATTTCTATTTTCGTTTGTGATGTAATGGTATTTGAATGTACATCAGTGTTTGTCAACATTTTAACCACGAGATCCAATGTATTTGTATTTCTCGTTTTGACGCCAGCTGTAATTTGGCGACTCATAGGTTGAGAAACAATGCTATACACAATTTACGCATTTAATATTATGTAATAATGACATCTTACTAGAGTAAAGTAAGTACTATATCAGTGGTACTCTTAGCAAACTCGGATAATAATTATATTCTTATATAACTCATTTTGATACTGCTCAAATTGATACAACGCACATGTATGAAGGACCTAGAACCTCTCGATAAACAAATACGAATACTAACTGTAATATCGACTATTTCCGTATGCGGCTATTAGGGAATTAAATGAACTTAATTTAATTAAATTTACCTAAACGAAACCCTCGACAAAAAAATAAGGTTGCATAACCATTCCAACAATTAACAAGATTTTGATATAACAAATATCATAACTATTTTGGCTAAGACCTTACCCCAATAGCTAAATGGCGCTAAGTGAAGTTATGATCTATCTACAAAAACCTGTTCGCTGATATAATTATTATAGTAGAATCTCTGTATACCTAAGAAAATATTTTGTTTATATTAAAATTGCGGCCCAACTTTCGTCGGGCACTCAAAAAATTGAGATTAGACTCATTTAAGTTGTTCCCCTCCACGGAAATCTTTAGTAAAAGGCGAAAGATTTATTCGCTTTGAAGGGAAACCAGAGTAACTATGTACTTAAATTTTTGAAGTATATTTCCAGGTATATACTTAATTCAGTACATAGAGTCATGTACAGCGCCATCTATTATACAATCATATGTTTTTAATTAGATTAATTTTGTACTAAGCCTTATCCTATTTTAATTTACTAATAACTTTTTGACAATAACGGATATTTAATAAATAATAAACTTTATTGCAATAATAAATAAACAAAAGTAAACATTTTCCATATAATAACAATGAAACAAAAAAATCACTGCTGCAAAGGGCTGTTGATTATTGGTCTTTCTAACTCCACTGAACTTAATTTTCAACTTTTATTAAACTGTGAGTATAACGCGATAAATTGATACCGCGCAACATGGAAACCGCGTTATGAGAAACTCAGATTAATTCTTACCCATTCTATGGAAACCTATTTCTAATACTTTATCAAATAATTATTTTTTTTGTCTAACAATCCATTTGAAGTAGATGTATCAATTAATGCCATCAATCACTCTTAATCTAGACCAGTGGTAGTCAACCTAATTTATACCTACCGCCTACTTTTGTATATTTTTGGTAGTAAACATTTCAATCCGCCCACCAGTTCCGCGGTATCTTAATTTAGTGCAACTGTAACTTAATTTAGAATCAGACAAACTCTTACCGCCCACCATGAGAGCTTGAATCGCCCACTAGTGGGTAGGGACCACTGATCTAGTCTTTAGATTTTAAAGTCTATTCTCGATATAGTTCTTAACGTAATTAAGTACCACATTGATAGATTACTGTATTCATAATCTCTTAATTAAGAATTATATCAACCAATCAAATATACTAAACTTACATGAATTTAGAAGTTTCTAAGAGCGTCAATCATTTAGCAATAATTCAAATATTATATATAGCTGATTTCAATAAACAGAGAAGTTCCATTATTGTAATGAGTATGTTATAATCATAGTTTATAAAATTGTTTTGAAACAATTAACAGTTCAGTTTAATATGATATATATTTATCAATAACAATTATCAATATTAATAACAATTATAATATGCATTCTATTAATATAATAGTTTACATCATGTTTTATTTATTGAATGTTGTTTTTAAATAATCTACTAAATTTTAACATTTGTTTATTGATAAATTAGTAAATAAAATAACACATAAACATATAATCAAAATAAAATAACAACTAACATTTAATCTAATTTACATATACACATTAACTCAAATGAACAAAAACAATGATTTAATTACAAAGAATGTACATTTCTTTTTTTTAGCCAAACCAATGATTTGCCATACATTCCGTTGTCCATGGGATCTGACAAACCCAACACCAATGGAAACCGCAACCCGCTCTCGTGCAAACCATATGCATACAACCACCTGAAAACACAAATTTATATAAATATTTCCTAATATTTATAAAACTCATTCTGACCGTCCCGTTCTGTGGGTGTTCTGCATTTAGGGCAAGGCTTAGTTAAGACTTTGATGGCCACTTTTGATGCTTCATCCCATCTAGCATCGGCTGCCCTAATTGGGTCAACGTTATAACTGCAGTCGCCGTTGATATTAACGTTCTCTGCAGCCTGGCATTCTCCAATGTGGTATCCTTGCAAGCACATTCTACAAAACACATACTAAAAACGGATGAACGTTGTTCTAGAGCAGTCGTTGAATAACTTACACCGCATCCATTAAGACACGTTATTTTTGTGCAGTCCGCGTCAGCTAAAATCCCCATGCCACAGCCAGGTTGTGGACACAATACTCCACCAGATTGTAAAACGAATTCTTCTGTTGCAAACCTTTGGTATTGGGTGTACTGTAAAGATATTTATCAAACACTGAGAATAATTTAAATTTATGTTGATTACCTGTAGATCAGTCAATAATCTAAAATGGTGTATTTCGCTTATAAAGGAATCAGCACATCCAGTGGGACATCCTAATGTATATCCTAGTTCTGGGTGCTGCCAGAATTGTCTATCTATTAAACGAGTTGTACAGTATTGTCGGAAACAATCTAGGCATGTTACGTGACGTTCGGCGCAAGGAAAAACAAAAACCGGATCACTAAAACATCAAATTATCAATTTCATCAATATCTCGTATTTATGAATATAAACATGCCATATATCCGCACAAGCTAAACAAGGGACATCTCTCAAATTAGGTCTAATCAAATATAAAGGTACAGCTTCATCACTTTCCCCTAACGACGCATGTTCAGAGCATTTGAAAAAGAATTCTGCAAATGTTGGTTCCTTATTATCTAAAATCTGTAAAATAATATTAAGTACAAATAATAAAATCATTCAATAAATTATTTACATCAGAACATAGTTGTGGGTTATTTTCACATAAGCCAGTTATTCGCTTTGGTTCCAACACATCATCCCAACTTTGTGGATCCCAGTGTACAGTGAATGCACCACTCTTACAAAAGTGACACCTCACTCGAAGTTTACCAGACTTCAGAGATTTACAAGTTGCACAAAACACATAGAAATGCACTTTTAAACTTTCCCTACCACCTGAAATTTGCCAATTAATAATATTATAATAAAAACAAAGTATTAATATCTAACTATCATTTAAATTTCCAGATGTGTCATCATCTGAAGTAAATGTTAAATCAGATAATGTTTCACACAATGGTTTAGATCCTGAATCTTCCTCATTCTCTTCCAACAAACTATTTGACTGACTTGGGACTTTGATTCTTTTCTTAATCTTAATTGCATGTAACACACTCCGTTGGCCCAAATCACATTCCTGAAAAAAGTAACTGAAATGAAAATTTTACACAACATTAGTTTTTTTTTTACTTACAGCAATTGTAACATTATCTCCCAGTTCTTTGCCAGCAAATATAATTTTCACTTCCTCTGGTTGCAGCCCAAGCTTTGGGGCTACAAAGTCTTTTACATTCTTGATATCCCATTGTGGATCTAGATTCACTGACAGAGTGTTACCAGTGTTCGTCTTGATATAAATGTTCAGTGTGTTACTGATTGTATTTTTGCCAAACGAAAACAACTGCAGCATGCTGTGCAGAAAATTCCTTACTAAATCAATTAAAAAACTCATAATTAAAAAATTGTAACCTACAATAAATTACATAAAAATAAAATCACCTGTTTTCTATTTACAGCTGAAACCACCATTGAATACATAGTTTATATAGGCAACCAAATTTACATAAGTGCAAACAAAATTTCTTAATTTAAAATTTAACTTATTATATAATAATAAATTAACTTGAAATTAATATTTTCCTGTTTCAAACCCACATTTACATTTTTAAAGTTTTATAGTCTAAGATAATTTATTTCTAAAAATCTTATAAGATTTTTTCAGAGTAATAATTAATTAGGAATAATTACATATATAAAATTAACTCAAGATTTCGTATTTAAATGAACATTTCAGTATTAACTTTATTAATTGGTACACATTGGACATTTAGTTATGTAATTGTCACTTCCAACGACTTTTCAGTTACATAACATAGGTACAGGTTGCGCCACGAACGGTCACTGTTAAATATTGATTCAAGAAACGCACACATTATTATTATGCAAATTGGTTTATTGATGTTTATATTTTGTTATGATTTCTACTTCAAATTTTATTATTGAATAAATTTACTTACATCATTTTCAAAATTTGTTTACACATATTATGTGTATTTTTGGATATGTTTCACTATACGAGTAAAAATCCGGAAATTTTGGAACGAATTAAACTCGTTAAGCGAGGTTTCACTGTATTTAATAAAATTATAAATTGACGCTCAGAAATAAGTAAATGAACATTGATATTTTTTTTAAATGAATTTTTTATGTAAGGAATGAATTGGACGATAATTCTGACCTCTACGAGTTTGTTCGGTACTAATAAACTCAACAACAACAAAAGCAGCAAACAACTGTCTTCGTACATTAAACAAGTATTTATTGATTGATAAATGGTAGAAACAATATAAATTAGTCAAGTGAATTTATTGTTAGTGCAATATTTATAACTGCTGTATAAAAATGTTTGAATACAGAAAAATATATTGTATATTGGGCTTGAGTGTAGTAGAATGCGAGTTCGTCAAGTACTCACGCATCGAAGTCACTGCGCATCGTTGCGTCTTTTAGTCCACGTTCTTCAATATTAAAGAACTTAAGACTACCTTCAGTCTGGTAACAGTCAGTAACAGGTTGTCTTACCCTCTTCCTGTCAAAACAACAGGTCGATGATATTTGACAGATCTTTTATACACAGCTTCAGGAAAGTTATGAGAAAAAAGAGAACTAGCAATTAGTTGAATTAAAACAATGGCATTTTTGTGTCCAGTGCGAATTCGCAGGGGTAAAAAGAAAAAACGTGAGTATTGCTCGACTCTATCGACAAATTCCTAAAATGTTTGGTTTGTTGGATAAAAAAAATATAGGTCAAAATTAATTTGTTTATTGCCGTCTTTTGGTTGTTAGGCAATAATCAGCATCCTGCATCCTGGCAGGCTACTAACGGAAGTAATATACATTAGAATTTTTAATTGCGGACTGTGGGAATGGTTAATTGCCAATGCCCATTGTCTTAACAAAAAAAAAACACACATTTTATTTAAATCATGTAATAAAATTGTATTTTATTATTTTGAAATTTATATTGAAATTTTGTTTGTAGCTACTGGCGCTGATATTGATAAGGAGTTGATGAAAACGAATTCCGGATTAACTCCTGGAATGGGAAGGATCACAGGCTCTGCAAGTATTGAAACTTTAGTGAGAGTTGGCATTGAAAAGGAACATGGTTTATCTCCAGATAGTAAAATGGTTGTTTTACATGATTTTACACCTTGTGTTGATGATGAGCTTGAAGTTAAAAGAGGACAAGTAAGTTTATTAACAGAAAAGAAATAATTCGATTTATTCAAATGTAAACATTTGTACTATTTGCATTTGCAGATTGTTAATATTTTATACAGAGAAAATGATTGGGTTTATGTGATAGGCTTAGATACAAGACAAGAAGGTTTTATACCACATTCTTATTGCACACCTTATAATAGCCATTTAGCTCAATTAGCAATTAAGAAGAAACTACCCAGAGATACACAAGTGGGACCTGCAGAGCACGCACTGCCGAATCCGGAAAATACTACGGAATGGTAAGATTAACTATTATGTAATAATAATTTGAAATTTGAATATCTTGTTTTTATTTAAAGCGAATTGGCTGCACCAGATACAAGCGATTGTGATTCATTGGGTAAAAAACAGGGCGCTGTGGCTAGTTCTCCGATTAGTATACATTCCGAACCGGATATGTTGCCATTTGCGAAAGATCCATCTGGAAGGTACATAGTACTGTACACTTTCATTGCTAGAGACGAAAACGATGTATCTGTGGAAAGAGGCGAATTTGTGACTGGTAAGATTTAATCAATACTTACGTGTTGTATTTTAATAATAGTTGTTCATTTCAGTTTTAAATAGGGAAGATCCAGATTGGTATTGGATAGTTAGAAGTGATGGACAAGAGGGATTTATTCCATCAGGCTTTGTGTATCCGGCTGATAATGTTATACAAGGTAAATATTACATTAATCAATACCATACCAAAAGTCGACTTTAATATCATTCATTGAATGCATAATCACATGCAGTAGTAGTAGATATAATCTTAAATCTTCCGTGTATTATGTTTTGAAATATACTAAAAATATGAGTATTAACTATTAAATAAGATTATTGATAGTCAAAAAACATAGCCCATTTTATAACCAAGGTGACAATTTTGATACCCTTTCCGTGTATTTTCTTACGAAGAGATGCGCATTATTCTTATTGGCTAAAATATCTTAAGACGGTCCTGTTGATAGCCATAATTATCAATTTAGATAAACAAACATATTCGAAATATTTCTATGTAACTAAATTTATAATACATATGTACATTTTTCAATATTTACTTATTATTGTAAGTGAATTATGCGTTTGTAATTATCGATTTTGGAGGATTTTATTAATAACATCATTAATATCTGGCCCATTAGCTCAGTTGGTTAGAGCGTCGTGCTAATAACGCGAAGGTCGCGGGTTCGATCCCCTCATGGGCCACATGTAATTTTAGTTTTTAAATCTTATGTAATAGATTGTTTATTTAACATATTCTTGAGAAATATTTGAATATAAAAGTACGAATCAAACGCATTAAAATAATATAGGAAACAATATTACTTGGAAGCATCTGGCCCATTAGCTCAGTTGGTTAGAGCGTCGTGCTAATAACGCGAAGGTCGCGGGTTCGATCCCCTCATGGGCCAATTATTTATTGCTAACTATAACAATTTTATATTTTCGCATTAGTTTAGTTTCAACAATAAATAATTACATAAAATTACCATTAAAAATATGTTACTTGTGATTATTTTGTTAGAAAATGATAAGCTTTGTAATATAATTTAGTTATTAGAGGTTTGTGTATTTTTATTTATATACATTTATTGCATTTCGACCATAGCTTGATCAAAGCATTTTTTTTTAAATAATTATAATTTTGGAAAAAATATTATAATTAATATACGTGTTACATAAATTGGATAGTTTACTTTAAGATGTCCTCAATGACCTACTGTTATTATCACGGATGCAGTAAAACGTGATTACATCATATCATGATTTATACTATCACTAAAATCTGCTGACTTCCACGCACGTATTTATGTAGTATTATGAAGTCATAATCTCCATAATTGTACTTACTACATTCTATTTTTAATTATTAACACAATTTATTTGTGTACCTCTAATAAAATTGATCAACATCAAGATTTATAAAATTATTGTTTTCTTTATTATTTAATATACAATTGTGGTAATAAGATAATTTGTATAGTTTAATTTAATGCAGAATTACACTATTATAAATATTTAAATTATTATAAATTTATGTAAATTTTGTATTAAACTACGATTTAATAATTTAAGGTCATTTGAATTCTACGACCAACCAAAATGGAACATCGAGCTTTACAAATACGAACGTATCTCATCATATGAATTCGCCAAGTGCGGATGACTTGAGATACCATGGAACCGAGTTGGTTATGCTCTACGATTACAAGGCCCAAGCACCGGATGATCTATCGGTGAGAAGAGGAGATTGGATATACGCAGATCTGAGCAACCAAACTGTGGATGGCTGGCTATGGGCGTACGCCCCTAAGACGAGGAAGTACGGGTTCATACCAAAAGCCTATGCGAGACCCCCGGCGATGACCAGCTTATAAGGATCGTCCGTCCATGCCTGATATCGAAAGGAGTTATTCTTTTAAAACGTTATAATTAATAATATTACGAAACTGTTGTGGAATATTTAAGTGCCTTATTTTTTATTTTCATTTCTAAGATTTATATGAATTATAAGAATAAAATGTTTTATAATATTATATTATTCTATTTTACACATAAATAAAATTAAATTATTAAAAATTAGTTACATTTACGTCCTATATTTATATTAAATATACATGGTATATATCTCTTTTTTTTTTCCTCTTTACACATATCACTTTCGTAAGTTCTGGTAGTAGCTGGACAATATTTTCCAGGCTTTCGGAGACATGAATCCATGAGGTGGATTTTCTCCGGATCTAGCCAAACCTGCAAATTAAATTTGTTTTTATTCGCACTCAATGATTTGAGATTAAAGTAACATTACCTCTCATCCTGGTTCCTGAGATGAAATCGAAATCTTCTTTTCTTGATGGATCGAAGAAAGCCATCTCTTGGTTCTTCATGTCGTAAGCAGCAACTCTGAATGGTATTATTTCCAGAGATTTTAAACCTGGTGCCATTTTCAATACTCGTCCTCCGTGAGTAGCTTCGTAAAGGTTTCCATCGACGGAACCTTTAGAACCCAATGGGTGTGGTACTCCGGCCGGATCACGTCCGACAATATAATAATTGGCCCCAGCGCACATTCTCGACTTGGCATGCCATTGCACCTGTTTGAAACAAAATAAGTTAATTACAATAAGCCGGGAAGAATAATAATTTTACCTCTGTTGGTCCGGCGTACATCATGGGACTCGGGAATATAGCCAAAACGGTGCTCTTAGCATCCAAAAGTCCATCATCCAAAACAGCTTGATGCTGTTCCATGCGTACAGGCAACGGAACGTCATCATCCTTTGTCCAACCTCCCAAGGGATGCAATAGTAGCACTGGTTTTCTGTATCCCTTTCTTTGAAGTTGCTTCTTTGTATCAGTCATTAAAAGTGCGTGTCCATTGTGAATCGGATTTCTCAACTAGAAATGTAAAACTGGTAATAATTCTGAACTAAATTAAATCTAAATCCAATACCTGGAAAGCAAAAACGGTGTCAGCTTCCATATCTTTAAAACGTTGTCTCAGTTCCAAAGGGGTTAACCTGTATTGGTCCAATCCATCGTTCCAATAAATACGTTCCAAAACTTCGAGATCTCCTCCAATGATCCAATCTCCGCTATCGTAAATCATCTATAAAGTAAATATTGATTATACTAAAATGTACTCTATCTAGTTATAATCATTACTTTAATGTAAGGATGATCCTTGTCTGTAGTTCCAAATTGCCTAGCACATCTTTCCTCCTTCCTATGATGGTAGAACTCGGGGTTTCTCAAAATTGCGTAATTTCTACCTTTGTGCGTTAAAGTAATTGATGTAGATTGGCAAAGTCTGTCTTTGTTTTCAGTAGAAATAGTTAAAATAATGGGAACGCTTTGATTGATCGAGTCGTTGTTTGTAGTCGATGAATTGAAATGGAGAACTTGCAGATACTCATCTTCGCGCATAAATCCTTTCAAAGGACTAGCCCAGCCTTCGCTAAGTACTTGCAACCATTGTAAATCTACTGCATTGATCTCCAATTTCACCAAATTTTCCGCCTCTACCTTAACCTTTTGCAAATCTTGTGCTGGTACAAACAACTCCTTAACTTCAATATTATTTAAAGACTGCTTTGGTATTATTGCCTAAATCAACATTGAAATATTATTAACTTTTATCCGTATTGAAATATGAGCTAACTTACGTTCTCTTCTAACATTTCAACAACGTGCATCATAGATTCATTAATTGAAGAATCTACTGTTTTAACGACCAGATCGGGAACCTCTGGTTTTTGGTATTCCTGATCAATTCCAGTGAATCCTTTAATCAAACCTTTCCTAGCTTTTTCGTAGAGACCTTTAATATCTCGTTTCTCGCATACGGAAATCGGCGTGTCCACGAAGACTTCAAAGAACGGCAAATTGCTTTGACTGTGGATTTTTCTCGCCATTTCTCTGTCTTCGGAAAACGGAGATACGAAGCTGCACAGGCAAATGTAACCTGCATCAGCGAAAAGTTTTCCAACTTCAGCCACTCTTCTGATATTCTCCTCTCTGTCCTCTTTGGAGAACCCTAGATTCTTATTCAAACCAGTTCTCATATTATCACCATCCAAACTGTAAGCTGGAATGCCTCTGGATACCAAATACTCTTCCAATTCGAACGAAATGGACGTTTTTCCAGCGCCCGAAAGTCCGGTAAACCAAATCGTGCAGCCTCTAAACACATTGCCCAGCATTTTTCCGCGCTTCGTCCTGCTTACATGATGATTTTGTTCGGTCACGTTAGTCGCCTTTTGGATGAACTAAATATACAAATGTTAATACAAAACATAAATTTAATATTAATCACATTTACCTTTTTGTCCTGAATGAAAGCCATTTTATTATAAATATTTATTTGGCGACTGAAGAGTAAATGCGGACTCCACTTTCTAACTGAGAATCTTACACTGGAATAAGAATAAAAATTTCTAAGAGAAAGCCTCGCTTGATATGATAAATAAGAAAAAAAACGCCGAGGATAATATTTAGTATAAACCACACATCAAAGTAATGACTTACATTTTAATAGTCGCATGTGAACTGAAGCAATTCCATAAAATTGTCTCTTATTTATATAAGTTTCAGCACATTTTTTTTTTGACCAAATCTTTATCCTTGCGTAAATTTAACCTTGGATTCACGTTTTGCTGAAAATGTGTTTTGTTATTTGATGTAGGCTTATACAATGATTAAACAATATACTTAATGATTACACTTTTATTGTTATTGCATTTGATTAAATAAAGTGATTGTGAATTGTAATTATAAAAACATATTTTGCGTTCTTACAGTACATTATTACATATATATAAACATAATTTATCGGTTGTAGTTTTAAGAAGCAACAGATGATGATAAGTCTCTAATACATTGATGACCCATTTTCTTATTAATATATTTGTGATAATAACATTTGTGTACTTTGACTTACATAATTATTGGCATTTTTTTTCAAAGAAAAATAATTGTGGTTTATGGTTGATTGCAAACTATTTTTCTTTGCTTTGCATTGACTTTGAAAATGAAAGGAACTGTTATAAAGTAATAGGAATAAACAAAAGTAAACAAAATTATTTTTGTATATAAACTCATACAATGATTATTAAGTTATGTTGTTTAAAATTATAATTATATAATCTTATTTTGATTACATTGACTTATTTTATAACATGACTTGTATCATGCCAGCTTAAGACTTCGTTAATCAATAAACAAAATACATGCTGGGGTTTCATGAGATATAATTTTATTTAAAAAGTAAGAACCTAAGTGTTTTGTCATTGTTCCGTTTTACGAAACGGGACATCGTGATTAATCAAAGTAAACATTGCGATATGAATACTTAATTTACATAGAGATTTACACAAACACTTACAATACATTTTACAATATTATTTTTTAACCATAATTTTCAAATAGTAAAACTTAATTTTAAAATTTCAAAATTTTAGGTAAAGGAGTAAACAATTATAACGTTTTAAATAACATGGAAAATGATTACAGCAATAATTTTTTTGTCGATCATCAATTAAAAACTTTTTGTTCAGAATTGCACAGCACGGAATTGCAATTTTAGAGAGAAAAAACGCACCTTTCTTTTCCTTGTATCCGTGACAATGAATGCTGGATACTTTTGTGGATTTATCGAGGCATGTAAATGACCATGATTACAGTTGAGTTAATTCTATGTTTTATTGATATTATGACGATAATTCAGAAAAAAAGAAAGAGATTAATATAGTGAATAACAGAAGTATAAAACGAATGTGAGTGTTAATAAGCTTTGGAATTTAGTTGATATATGAATATTGTCATATTAAATTCATTTTAAACTTATGAATGTTACGAAAATACATCATATTCTTAACAAGTAACTATTTATTTTCATAAACCAACAATAATCTAAGTGAAGAAATATTTTAATAACTTGACCAAACAAAAATCGTACTCATATTTTGTTTATAAACATTAAATATAATGTAATGCCCTGATGACACAAGTTCGGAGAATAGTTACAATAAACAGGAAATATTACAATAAACAGTATTTTCCATGATAAACATTATTTGCTATTTAAATATTCGTAATGGTTTTATTATTGAAATTTATCACTAAACATGTGATTATTACTAAATAATTTAAAGGAATTGTTTGATGTGAAATCAAATAATACTAGTAAATTGAAATTTAAACTTTTTTCATTGAAATTCCATTTTAAATCGATTTTCTACACTTATCTAAATTTGACAATTACCAAACTTTGCGATAATTTATGCAACTAAACACACATTTACAATTTATTGTAATAAAATTAGGAAAACAGGAAGGTTATATTAAATGAATACGAAATAATTTATTAAGTAATGAAACAAATTTTACTCTTGTTTTTTTTTTTAGAAATAGCACATTGTGTATAATATAGAAAGCATTGTCTCAAATATTACATTTAATATATAGCCCTACACAAAATGATTGATAAATATTACAGGTAATATAGAATACACATACAAACTTAATGAAATACAATTATTAATATATTATAATACTTTTGTATCAACATTTTTGACTTTTGGTCTATTCCATAAAAAAATAATAATAATAAAAACAAAAATCCCATTTGCTTTCATGCAAAATATGATATGAATACACTTAGTTAAACGAAAATGTGATCAACGGGCCTGGATCTGTTTACCAACTAATGCATCTAAGAGTCTCAATTTGGCTTTGGCTTTCTTGTACGATATATAGACGGTCTCCATTGGACTACGATCTTCCTTTTGCAATTTCCTTCCAGTCGTGCTCTCAAAATTCGCTTCAAATTCCTTCAGAGATCGCCGCAGCTGTTTCTTTTCTTCATTTGTCATTCTCTGCTGCATTGTGAGTTCCTCTAAGCTCATAGCATGCAAATTCTCACCAATAGATGTGTCTGTATCACTGTCAGTGGTGCTTCCTGTTAATGTCAATTTTTCGGATTCCGTCTCCACCGTTTGCGTTGGCAAAGACACGAAATCCATCGTTTCATGCTCGTGGATTGTTGCTAACTCAATAATATTGTTAGCCTGTAAATAAGCGATTACATAAAGATTAATATGGGATTTACAAAGATTGTTAAAGGTGTAAAATTTACCACTTACCATTGTCAATCTCGCGACCATCCTTTTTAGACTTCTGTATCTGTCGTAGAGGGGCCGTGCTAAATCTTTATCTTCTTTATTTGTAGGTCTACCGTGTACTGATTCTAAATAAAGGAGACTCTTTTGAACTGCAATTTTTTCTTCAACTAATTGTTCATTGGACAACTCCTCGATATCTAAGCTTCGCTCAGATCCAATTCTTTTCGTTTCCAATTTCTACGATTATTAAAAAGGAACAACATATTAATACGGATGAAACGATTAGATATAAATTAAATACCTTTTCAATTTCCAATATCGTATCCTTAAGTAAAGCAGTAGGTTTATTATCATCTACATTGTTTATCGGAACGGTAAGCAAAGACGTGGCATCTTCTTGAAGCTGTTTCTGCTCCTTTTTAAGCTTCGACAATTCAGTACACAACTTCTTAATTGATTTCTCGTTTAATTTATCCGCGTGCGAAGGTTTATATCCATATTTCACTTCGAATTCCTCGTCATACTTCTTAATTTTCTTCTTTAAACTATTGATTTGCTTGGCAAGCTGTTTTAAACGCTGTTCTACAGGATTCTTGGGATCTTTCAAGGTGTGCTGCGGCACGTCAGGATTCAAGTAGATGCGCTGCGTTATGATTACTGAGTTTCTAGGCGATGATAAAAGACGGTTAGGAACAACGGAGAGGCTTGGGGCAATTTCATTGATTTCTGTAACATCCCGGTTCGTGTACGATGGAATAGGATCGCAGCAGTCAATTTGCTGGTGGAGAGTGGTAATGTCTAATGCTGGAGAAACCGGAGTGTGGACGGGACTCGGAGATCGTTCCTTTTCAACCGGCACCAACTGCAGAAAGTTGCACGTGTCTGTATCCGCTTCTATTGGTTGCGATTCCTCTGCAGGCTTCACCTTTTTGGGTAGAGCTTTATCTTTGACTGATGCTTTAGGAAAATGCTTTGTTTTTGGTTTGCGGGTTTGATTGTATCTGCCTCCTCGCGGTAGCAGTGGTCTGGAGAAGCGCTCATGCGAACGACGCTTCTCGAATTCCCCATCGTCGATTTCGCGATGTGAACTTATTTTAATTGGACCATCTTGAACCGCAGGGGTTGCAACGCCATCGTTATTATTTTGGGTTGACGGTGATTTCTGGAAGTCCTCATTGCTGGATACGCGTCTTATATCGTTTTTGGTGGTGATTGGACGTTCTTCCGAATTCGATCTGATGACTTTTCGCTCCTGGGAAATGGAGCCTATACTCTCTTGACGCTCTTTTCTTTTACGGGCCTTAACAGATGCCCTAGCTTCATCGTAGGTGCTTGGCAATTTGGACTGGCATGTTAACATCCGTTTAACTCTAGCAAACTTGCTCTCTCTGTCATTGGATGTCCTCTTAGTATCTTCTAATGTGTGTGGACCTTTCATAACGTCTGGATCTACCATACGACTACACTGCAAGAACAACAATGATTAGAATGTGGGTCCAAATTTCGCGAACACCTAATGGACAGTGCCAAAAAGTGACGGTGGTGGGGGTATCGTGGTCCAGCTTCTACTTACATTACACCGCCTTAGCAGCGAGCACAATCTTTGGAATCGCCGCTCAATGACGAAGGAATTTGCAATGAGAGAAAAATGAGTGTATGTGAAACGCAGATGAAAGATGCTTGTTAATTAATACTGATTATTAATTTATTGTTTTTGTATAAAATAAACGCACTTGTACAACCAAGAGCTATTATATTGCTAAATTCACAGGTTCATATCCCTATCGCGACACATTGCAGATTTATGGCTGCTTTAGAAAATGTGTAGAAACGAGTCGCAATTTTAGCATGTGGATACCAAAGGTCCACGAATGAGAGAAGGTGGAGAATTCACCACTTAATTGCCTGCAACAAAACACCATACGTCACCAATCAATGCCTATTAAGATCAATCAAAACAGTGTAACAAAATTAAATTTACATAATTCTTCTTCCCTTTTCGCACCAAACAAAACAAACTCTGTATTTACTCTTTTTTTTTTTCTACTGTTTTAAGCCTCTCTCACCGATTTAACTCTAATGCGGTTTAAAAATATTTCTTGGCAACTTACCAATGATATTTTTAAACTACATATTTACATCCTACAAACATAATATGCCAAAGACGTCACTATATAACATACATTATTAATTGCAAACAAATATCATATATAATTTCACCTTTTCTTTTATAAAACGGAATGTGTTTTGTAGAAAAATCAATTGACCCAAAAACTCCCATAAGTAATCGTCAAGTTCATAGACCTTTCAGACAAACACACACTCGCGCACATTTTCATCAAAACATAGTTACGTAATCGGTCATTTTTGGCGCAGGCAAAACGTAATTAAAATATTTACCTTCCACGCCTAAGTGAAGCTTCACTGGCGAAAAAAAAGAAATAAATAAATTTGAAAAGCAATTTTTTTTAGTTCACGGTCACACGATTCTGCACGTGCCTCATAATACTGGCTACTAAATTTCTCGCGAAGAAAAAAAAAATCGAATTTTGTTTACGTACTAAAATTTAAAGGCGCACCGCAAAAATATGCCATCAAGCATATAATCTCGCCAGAATATCCTTGGACTAATCATTCGATAAACCTAAATAATATTTAGGAAATTTTCCACTATCTTAAGGATAAAAAAAAAAATAGAAAGTTGTTTACGGGCTACAATTTTGTATTCTTACGAATTGATCTTTTAGCGAAACGAAATTTAAGAAGAACAAAAAAAAAATGGGGAAAAATATTCTGGAAATTCAATTACAAAAACTTTCTAATTAATCTAGATTCGAGCGTTGGATATATAATGCTTTTGCTACGAGTAGAATTTACCATGATTTTCTGGGAAGATCGGAGTGAGAGCAGCAGCAGATTTAAAATTAAAATTTTGCCTTGTGGAAAATTTCCAAACGCCCCAATTTCCGGCACGGGGAAATCTGGATGGGCGTTGTGCGATAACAACTAGGAGACGACTACTGACTGCACTGCGATCAAGCCTTATTCTATGCAGAGAGTGTTATGTTTGTTTATTTTAAATAAACTCAGTCATTTATTTATATTGGAATTCTAATTAGAAAACGCAACAGTATTGAAATGAAAGGTGCGATTATTATTATGCCTCATGCTACGCACAGAATTTATTTTGCTTGGCGAGGAGAAAGAGCGAAAGACAGCTAAACATATAGAGAGAAAGAGAAATAGAGAGAGAGAGAAGCAGATAGAGACCATATTGAATTTGCTTCGAGAATGTTCTTCTGCATCTTGAAACTCACCCTTCGTACCAGCCATAATATCGGTCACTTGAAAATTGGGTTTGTTGTTCTTGGTTGTGTCAAAAATCAATGAAGACTCGGATGGCAATGCACTTAAAAGCCGGCCGGAGTAATGCACACTAGCGAGTGAGTGAAATACCTCCAGTGAGTAACAGGACGAACTTTAGTACCAGATCACTAGTTCTTAGAAGCGGCTAAAACCGCGCTGACTCTGAACGAAGTCCCGCGACTTCGCGGCACGATGTTTGAATTCAAACCGAATTGCCCAACGACAGTTTCTAATGAAAGCCAATTGCTTAATCATTTCCAAAACCAAATGCAACTTCGATTTATAAGCACTTCCTTTGACCAAATTAAAAAAAAAAGAACAAGTCAAAACAAAATATTTAAAAAAAAAAACACAACAAATGTAGAGCATAGCACGCGCCAAAAGTTTAATATTGGTCTCGGTGTCTCATCCCAGACGATCTGATGATCTTATAAAATGCGTCAACCTGTCTGTCGTAGTTTGGCTCGTGTGGCATTTGTTCCTCGTTCTATTTGCAAGAGCGTCATTGTTTCGTAAAACATGCTAATTTTTGTTTTAACCCACAATTTTTACTTGAATGCAAATTACTGCAAATGTTTCAAAGTATTTCAGGCTATTTATAGTTGTTCAAACAACGTAATTCAAACATATCATTTAAACAAAAATTTATTTTTATACAATTTTTTTGCAATGTGTATTTATCAATTCAGATCTAGTGGTATTAAAAAAAACATTTTGCGCAAGAACACGTGGTGATAAAGTTATATAAGACATATTCGTATTCATATCGTATAGTTGACTAAAACGCTCAGACAGTTATCTGATTTGACGAGTGGAAAATTCCACGCAGCTCAAAAGAATTTCTGTCCCTTCATCAAAACATATCACAATCACAGTCATCCAATATAATTTACTGATGAATTTTTAATAAAACCAAAAAAAAAATATATCCTCTAATTTGTTTTATAAAATTAATATTCAAACAGTTAATTACCTCTTGATTACCTCATAAAATCAATAATAAAACGTCATTTCTGTCCTTCAGTTTAAACTTATAATTTTACTAAATTCTTATTAAAATCGTTACTTTAACGAAATTTACTTCAAGAAACTAATAAAATATAAGAGTATTTAGATAAATATTTTCGCAAATAATAAACGAGTGTACGATCCTAGATGAAAGTTTTGCATTTGCGAACGTGATTATTTTAAATTTAGTTTTTCCTCTCGAAGTCCTTGAGGGTAAAGAAATAACATTTTCTTGCGTCCGCAAGTGATTTATTTAAGGCAGAGCAAAATAGTGCCAGGGAGAAACAATATAAAATGGAATCATTCAGTCGTGGCATTGGCTCTTATATCCTTAGCTGAACTCTTAAACAATTACGACAAATACTGCAATACAAAAAAAAGATATATGTAGATATTCTTGCAAACGTGAACTGAATTATTTAATTGTTTTTTTGTATATATAATTCGCTTTTGCAAACTGGTTTGAAGCGAACAATTTTAGTAACTAAGTTATATAATTACAAGTGACAAGTTTCTGGATGCTTTCACTTTTAATCTTCGGAAGATATCGGCATTTCTTTTCGCATACTTAAGAAGAAGTTTTGTTGTTGTTTTTGTAAAGTTGAGGAAAAAAATCAGCTCATTGTTTATTATAAACACGAGTTTAGTCATAACCCCTTTTACGATGTTTTCTATTTTTTTTTAGTTCAAACAAAAATATGGGAAGAAAAATAAATATGCCGCTATTTTTAATCCCTTCCGAAAGATCTCATTTTCTATTTTTATATAAAACAAAATCAAAATACGTAGCGAAATTAATGTCTTGTTTGTCGTCGTTTCAATTTGGCAATAACATAAGAGAGAAGATATATAATAACGTAGAGTATCGTCATAGTTGATGATCATAGCTTACGAAAATTAAGAAACGCACTGTTAAAGCCGCACTAATCGAGGATAAATATAAATTACACAAAAATAATTTTTTTCTGTATAAATGATAAAAAAAATCAATTTATTTTTAAAATTAAAATTTAGTTTGTTTAGAAAATTTCAAACCGTACTATAAAGAATCCGTACTGAACGAAGCTGCACTATGCGAGGTAGTACTAATTTTGTGATCGTTAAACTCTTAAGATGAAAACTTCGTAAAAAAACAAATACTACTAAGATTTAAGTAAAGTGCAAGATATTAATTTTAAATGATCTTCGTTAAGGTCAATTTATTAATAGGAGCCCGGAAACATAGAAATCGGTCAGAAATAGAATATAAAACGATAGAATATTGCAAAAAACTAGTATTCTTTGTTCATTCAGGTTAAACGCGGAATGATTCACCTTGTATGTAAAAAGCGTGTGTAATTATGGAAGATTCGTTTAAATAATCTCATTAGCATATACTAAGCGTATGCAAAATAATTCAAATAATATACATTAATACCGCAATTACCATATCAAATTATTAAATTGCTTGCAGATCTACCGCAAATCGTTTTCGGTACTTTTCCACGATCTAACAACAATTCCAAATGACTTGCGCTTTTACACACTATAATAGGAAGTTTTATACATCTTATTTAGCGAAAAATCAACTTTTTTTGCAATTGCAATTAGAACCTGTGACTAATATCGTTCATAGAAATCGCACTTTATTAGTTTTACATTCGTATCAGAAATGCATGAATATTATTAGATATGCTTTCCGAGACATTTGATGCGTAATAAACACTATTGATTCTGTTATTCAAAGATAAGGTATTTATACTGTTTATTGATGTTGTTACATAATTAATATTGATTTATCCGGTGTGGAATATGAAGTAGTTTTGGTAGTTATGCCAACTATTTGTTGGGTCAATAAAGAAGTTAATTTGTCTTTGAAAATATGTACGGAAGGAATATTTTATGATATATACTAATGTTTTGTCTTTGAAAATATGTACGGAAGGAATATTTTATGATATATACTAATGTTTATCTGAACAGCATATTTATTGACTCTGGAAAGCCTTATGTATTCTGTTGAAAACAAGTCAATATACTGCGAGTCCATAGAAATGTCTGGATATTTATAAAATGTAATTTGCGGAGAGAGCATTGTGGATGGGAATCGCAACGAAACCTTACTAGATTTAGCAATTCAAATCGAAAACCCGAAAATAACGTACGTAAGTATGTATGTATCCGTTTAAATATACGCGGAACAGGAACATTCGATACGTCCGAAGCGTTACATAATCCATTCTAATACGTAAAAGCGAACAAAATAAAATGGAAGATTAAAAATAGCCGTGTATATTGGAAGAAAGCATTAAGATTTTTATTGCTTATTTGTTCAGTGTTCTAAAAATAATCAGTTTATAATATTTAGTATATATGCGTTGTGACAAATTCACCAGGTGGGTTTTCTACAAATTGTTATCCAATTGGAAGAAAATACGACGCGCGAATAAGGCTTCGCGTCCTTGAAGGATGTATATTTATTTGTTTTTTTCCTTATAGGTTTTCATCAATAACTTCGGTGAGTTCGCATTGAGGACGTTTGCAAAAAATTAGCGTATCGTTTAGTTTCTGCCGGTAAAAGTGAGGATCAAAAACGGATTGAGTATGAGCATGATTTGGAGACGACGGCATTCGTTGAGGTCAGGGGCTTCGCGAAGTCTGTTTAGTGCGTTATTTATTGCTCATGTGCCAAACGAATTAAAATCTGTAATTAGTCGAATCCGTTTCTGGCATGGAAACAATTGGTTTCGAGAAATAACAAATACACGCGTAGACTATTATTTCGCTGCACGTATTGAATTAAGGTCAATCCAGGCGGCACTATCAGCAATAAGTTGTTTCAATATCTCTTAAAAAAACTGTTTACACGTTCAAATTCTATTAAATTCTGATTTCTGTTGCAGCAGTTTCTTTCCACGACGAAATTGCAAGTCGTAATTATCAATAAAGAAAAAGTCATGTGTATGATATTTTCATTGTCTTAATTTAATAACTAAATTTTAAAGAATTCTTAATAATTGTTTCTATGTTATAAACAATCATAATTCGTTAATGATGATGATTATTGTGTTTTCGTGGACTTGATTTAATACATACCAATATATGAAAAATTACAATTGAAAAGAAAGTTTTGATATCCAAAATTGGACAACAATGATTGTAACTTCGACGAAACGCGTGCCGTAAACTGTCTCATTCACTACTAACACATTACTCGGTGATTAATGTTATAGATAGGCTATATATTATTATTTTTTAAATATTTACATAGATTCTCGATAACAAAGGTTTCGTCCCATTCTGTTTACTAAACTTTTACACGTCTGATTAGTAAGTTTATCACTGCATTCTGTACACATTGGAATTTTCAATTTAACAATCTTCGTTTCTTCCTTAGCGTCAAATTGATACTAATAAAATTAGTTAATATTATTACTTTTTCAGGGTCACTTTCCATTGTAATCGAGCCACGATGTTTCACTCGTAACAACTACGTAATAACAAATAAGACTTTAACAGAATATATAGAAATAAACTTAATTTAATAGACTTTATAAAATTCTAAATATTTGGATATTTTAACAAATACTCATTTTCAATATTAGTCCAGAAATAACACGTTCCAATTATTCAGCATATAAATTATTATTTTAAATGGTATTGTGTAAACATTTTTTTTTTTTGAAATAATAGAAACAGATGTTACTTAAAAGCATGACATCAATGGAAAAAATAGCATCAACAAATTATAATAACATCAACACTACGATTCTTAAAATTTTGTTGTTATTTTTTATTTTAAATCCACAATAGATGTGGGCGGTCAATAGGATTTTGTTTGTTCGATAATTTATTGCTATTATGATTTATTTCATTTAATTTTATAATAAATATGCCTCAAAATATACGCACCTTCACATATTTGCAAAAAAATCATTACATTATAATTTATTTTCAATTATAAAAGATGACAAGAAATATAAAAAAAAAATGTAAATGTATCAAAATAAATTTAATTTTTTAATTTTAAAGAAATTTATTAAAATGATTTTATTATGTCGATAACATTAGGTTGGTACGAAAAGCCCCTATAAATGGATGATCGTGTATTCCTTCCATACATTTAACACATCGATTTTAAAAATTTTCATCAAATTTAGTTACAGACTAAGAATACACACGCGATTAAATGATTGATTATTAATAAATTTACTAGTAGAAATCAAAATGAAATTAACAAAATTTATTTCTTTGCACACTTTTATTGCTTTT